CCTGAAACTGCAGACTACTTATTTGCATAGTGTTGTGTGCAGCTCTCAGATTTTATGTGAATACAGGACGCACACCAGCCCCCTATCACATGGCATGCCTACATCAAAAGTGCTATTGGGGCAATACAATGCAAAATCTTGTATTGCATAGCATGGAAACAGGCAATGTCAATATAGTAAGGTTAAACAGATAGGTAATAAAATACTTGAAGACTAACCTGTGATGTTTACATGCATGGTTTTAGTTGATGACCCACATGGTGAGCTGAGAGTAATGGCGTAGTCATCACCATCTGTACAGCCTACTCCTTTAAATCGGTTGATATCCACCCTCATCACACCATACTCCTGGGTAAATTGCATTGATAAATTCTGTTCTTTGTGTTCCGTATTAAATGAGATTGGAAACGGTGGTAACGTTGTTATACCGTTATCTACCGACCTTGTTTGATCCACGAGAACTTGTTCGACGTCATGACCAGGGCACCATGAGCAGATTATTTGAAGTTGTTGGTATGGTGAAGTGTTCTAGTCACAAAACCCTACCAAACTTCCAGAAACGCAAAGCATTCGTTTTTTGCCATCGTTTTGCAATATTTTATTCCTCAAGGTCCACTATATTTATGCTGGGGATCGGTTGATTGTGGGATATATTATCAATGGATTGCGCAACAAAAGATGTGACGTTTTCCGAGCCGATACCCTCTGAAAAGAGCACTGTGCGATATGTTCAATTTGTCGATTCGACATCAAAAATATGTTATGGCTTCATATTTCCAATAAAAATAATGATAAAACATAAGTTAGTAACCAAGCAAGATACATTTGTCATTGGTACGAGGTTATAAGAATGAAACATTTCTTAAAATATTCAGAATGCAGTGTCCGGGAATATTTGAAATATTAATTCGTCAATAAATTAATTACTTTCTATGTTTGTCTATAAACGTCTCATTAAAAATGTATACTTTTAACAGAAATATTCATATTTATCAATTTCAATTTTATACATCTATACCGTCCTTTTATATTTAATGTACCATGCGTGGCATTGTTCATTTCTATATGTCATTTGGTAACAAAACAATGTTACATTCTATGATATAAATAGTTTCGGTGCAAACCCGTCCAAAGCCAAAGTTGAAACTCTGACCAATTTTCCGCGAAATTTTTCTCTTTGTTTTTTAAGAAATAGCACTATCTATGAAAATATCCCTTAATTACTGATATATTAAAAAAGGGGAAGCAAAGGAAACTCTGGATACAGACAGACAGACAGACAGACAGACAGACAGACAGACATTCTTTATTTCCTCCTTTAGGAGATTTCATATGTCAAAACAGTTTTACAAAATGTGTCTTAATTTATATATAAACATAGTTTTGAGAAGTAAATGTATTAAATAATGACGTATTTGACATTCATATAACTGCATTATATAATTCATCATACAAAATGTTCACTACAATACCTATTCCTCGTACATCTTTTACATATATACGTATACACTTATATATATATCAATAGGTTAATTATAGAAAACTCTCCATCTCACATACCATTCCTTTGATATTTCCAGCCATATTTATCATTAGTGTTTCCCACTCTATATCAGTCAAGTACACATGTGAATGCTCGCCAAGTAAAAAGCTGCACTGGTCTTCAATGCTTAGTTCTGAAAACTGTACATATGACAATACTTCTATAGCATTTACAACACCATCCATCATTTTATCACGGCTTAAGTATAAACCTGGACATTCTAATATAAAATGCAACACAATATCTTTACTTGTTTTCTCACATATCTTACATATAACCAATTCATTCTCACAAGATATTGAGTATTTAAATAACTCTACTAGATCCCATACATGTTGTTGAGAAATTTGTTTAGTGCTTAGTTGCAATATTGGATTTATTCCCGGATCACTATGGATAGCAGCATATCTCTTATGTTCATCACGTGTATTTAGTTTATCTGTCCACCTTATATAATAAAAATCATATATAAATCTATTAATGAAACGTTTCCAGCATAACATCGGTGGTACGAATATATTTAGAACATAGTCATTGATAAATGACTCTATATTAAATTTAACCATTATGTTATATATATCAGGCAGAAATCCTATTTGAGTAGTTGATGAACTACCATACATAAATTGGCATAGTCTAATAATAAAAAGTGTTTTCCATAAAAATTTTGGACCACCTAAACACAATTTGTTCCAAAATAATAGTTTCCTTCTCTCCACTTCGCTCCACATATCAAATGACCCTAAACACTGAGCAGTCACTGCTGTGGAGGAAGTTTTAGGAAGACCAATACAACGTCTACATGCATATCTCTGTGTACGTTCCAACTCTTCTACAGCTTGCTTAGTATATGAATTCCAAAGCTCACAACCATACAACATACTTGAATATACAACACTTTTAATAATATTAAAACTTAATACAGGGTTCAGCCCATTGGGGTGAATACCAATACTTAAAAGTGAATTTAGGTTAGTCCTTCCTTTCACACAAGCATCAAAAATACTACTGCTTGATTGTAGGTTATGGGTAAACGTTATCCCAGCGTACGTTTTCTGTGATGTCATTGGAATTATATCGGAACCAATTTTACATTGTATAGGCCCACATTCTTCTGACATCACACGTCGACGTGGGGATTGAAATATTACTAGAGAGCTCTTTGTGGAGTTATAGTTGAGACGCCAACGAGTAGAGTATGTATATACTATATCTAATTCTTTTTGAAGTAGCCCTATAGAGGCTGACAATACTAATGTGTCGTCCGCTAATAACACGCATGGTACGTGTATATCTTTTATCGTGTATATCCTTTATCGTAAGTCCAAGACCTCGATTGTCTAACTCACTAGCAAGGTCGTCTATCATAACGTCTATAAAGTATGTCACTGCCAAACTTTGTATACTGTAGTATATTTTATCATATCGGATATAATGTTAATAATGAAATAAGATATCGATCACTTTTCGTAAATTTAATTATAACCTCGAAAAGTGATATTTAAACAACAAATCAAGCATATTCTTTCCAGAATTATGATGATCAGGGAGAAATGAAGCGAACGAGCCATGAGTGATATCAAATTTTGATTCTTAAGGTATCAGAAGAAAATGGAATAAAACAAAAAAGTTTTGTTACTCTGCACTTTACAACAATAAAACACGAGAACAATGTTTATACATGTACAATAAACATTGTATTTAATTAAGAGATCCCAACGCCACTGCCAAAAACTAACTTTTCATTTTAAAACTTGTTTTCTTGTATGACTTTATGTAGCTTGCTTAATTATTTGTAAAAGTTTTGCCCTCGTATAGTGATTTTTCTTTCGTCAACTCTGTGGTTCTGTCTTGACTTAACTTCAGCTGGCTACAGGTCAATGAATGACAACACGTTTTATAAAGTTCTACAATTTATTATGTACCAAACGAAACAGTGAAGTAAATTAAACATAATGAATAGATATACACAATGGTACAGCACGTCAACCACTCGACCGGTCCATACTAAAACAGTATACCGTGTAACATATGTCCTCTCAAAAATGTCCACGCGGTAGGCTATCCCACCTTGGAAAATAAGTTTAAACACACCCCGATAATATATTACAACATGCCTACAACGGGAAAATAACCATCCCAAATTAACACCGAGATAATTCTACCCAAACATGCCTACAATGGGAAAATACCACCCAGCCCGGAATAATTTTGAGGTCTAAGGCCGAAATATACTCCTACATACCTGCCAGACTGATTTACAATACCAAAAACACCCAGCTATATAGCCAAATTTTAATTGTATGCCTTGAAATGCACGTGCCATGTAGTATTTGAAATACACGTGCAATGTAGTATTTGAACTCGATACTGACCCATACCTGAGCGTAGAGTGCGGTACAGGTAAGGTAACATATCCTAAAAATATTAACCAATCATAAACGTCTAAATAATATACCGGAAGGGAATCCCCAACGGGAATACCCCAGGTACACGCACTCCGTTACACGAAACGTAAATACGGAAATATATACAACAAGTAAGTGTTCAAAACCTAATCCTTTTACATTTTTATAAAAAGAAAGCCATACATTTTGGAACTCTCATGATAAATGATAAAGGTGAAATAAGCAAAAACATTCAACAACAGTTTTCCCAGTACAAAAATACCCAAAGGGTCAGACCAGGATATCGAACCCTTGACCTCAGGTCATTATATTTTAGTCCTAACCAACTTTACTACCTACTCAACCAACATACTGTACCCTGTTTAACTTGAACTACCAATATCTAAACCAATGCTAAGGGAAAGTGATATCATGCAATAAACGCAACACTTCTCATGTGTTTTGCCTTTTGTTTTGAGTGCATTAGGTAAGGGATCCCTCGTGTATTTCATTTTAAGTATTTATATTAATTTGACAACTCAAAATATTATTATATGCTTGTCAACACGATTGTCATTAAGGGAAGATGGATGGGTCGAAATATGATTGGTCAATTTCGTGTAGTAAAACAATGACGAGTTTACAATAAATGTACATTCATAAAAAAATATAAATCACTAATCGAAAGTAGTATTTACTTACATATATACATTGAACATTTTTACAACTATGGAAACTTTAACCACAAATAAATAAATACATAAAGTTTTCAGAAGAAAATATATCTGTAACTGGATTTCATTAACAAGATATATAAGGCATTCTATCTCAACTGTGCCCAAAAAGTAATAATATATGTGTACGTGTTTGTTCTTTCCGAAGCCTACTCATAGAATCGATGTATTTTGGGATCTAGAGGAGTACATTATTTTAAGGGTTCTAGATGTATTAGTTAAGATATATTACACGCTATATTCGACTTGAACACTAAACAAAACTGAAATTTCAGCTTCAATATCAGAAACACACAAGTAGCACATTCAGCTAAGCATTAAGTGAAAGAAGTGCTCTTGATTTTTGATTTAACAACAACAACAAAATTTAAAAACAAACATTCAATTCAAATCACTATATTTCATGTGTCCTAGGCAGTTGGCTGGATCTGGAAATAATCCAGGTTGACAATTGTGCTCAATATATATGGTACCGCTAGCGTTCCACAAAAATATAGGGTATGGTTAAACGGGTGAATAACGTTAAAAAAACAACCTAAAATAATAATACTGCGAAAAGTGGTCACTCGGATAAAAACACATGTACGTTATCCACATTGTCCTAAGCAGTTGTTTGGATCCGGGTAGATAAGACTCATGCCAGCTGGACATTTGTTCACTGCTTGAATAAGACTAGCAGAGTTACACGCAATGTACAGGCCGAAGACGGACGGGTGTGCGACGTTACACGATGCAAAGTTATCACAATAGGAATCTGAAATAAACAAAACAACACTTTAGAATACTGTTGGTATTAGATCGCTTGAAAGATGCCGCATTTGTTTCCATCATCTGTACAGTAGAAGTACATAGAAGTTAAAGCTTTCTGAAATCTGATCCGATTTCAATATCAGATATTTATATCTAAAGAATAAATATAATAAAATAAAAAATGGTACAACTGTAACTGTATCATAGAGAATACATTTAAGGATGTTTTTAAGGACAATTTTAGTAATATATACAATGTGTTTATAGGAAATTAAAATATTGTCCCAAGTATAGTACCAAAATCATTATTGGTGTGATTCACAAGAGTGTCGAAGTAGTATAACCAGTCTCACCTTCTAATACATCAAACCTCTTAGATTCAGTGTAACTACGAGTTGTATCTCCCAGTGGAAGAAATGACACGGATGCATTGATAACTGTGGTATGTAAGGCAAGGTCCACCGGTTTATATGACCAAACGATCTTGAACGCTAGTGCATCCCTGATGTCCTCGTCAGCAACCTAAAAATTAGTAATCTATGCTGTGAGGACAATGATAATGAGTATTTGTTCTGTAAATTACAATGCGTAACAAAATGCATATCGAAACATTCTTTTAATAAAATTCGTTAGGAACTGCATGTTTCTATACCTATTTACAATAGTGATTTAAAAGGATATTGAAAATACAAATTTGTTACGGTTGTGTAACCGTGTATCGTAAGCCGTGACACAGAATTAACTATAATATGTAATTATCGACAGACATTTTGTACCGTATACGTGACAATAGGACTAGTGAAGTTTGCTATTTCGATGACAACGTAAACCTTTTCAAATATGCCAAACGAACGAATTTCGTAGGGGGAAATAGCCTTACCGTCACTGCGCTCGCCAGAAGTGAAACACCGTCCTGCTTTGCAATGACATTAGACACAGAACAACCCATGAATCCCTTGAATTCAACATCTAGATCTCTTCCGGCTATCACAGGAGTGTCGGTCATGGAATACGTATACAGACTTTGGGGGACTGAATACAAATTAGTATACAAATCAATGTATCTCACAAAATATGGAAATGGAAATGGAATAAATTGTTCGTATCCGCCAAAACGTAAAATCTTTTCATCTTAATTTTAATTAACGCTTATTTGATTCACATATTCTAATAAATATCAATCAATCAATTTTTATGAATGGTTATATCAATCACCAGGAGAAAGATAATGACGTCACGCCAGGTAACATCGCTTCACTCGCGAATTATACTTTCCTAAAAAGTTGACCATTTGGCTGGAAGTAATGAAACCTATAGCAATTGAGAAAGACACCTTGATAAAGTTATCAGAGACATGTTTGCTTTAAAAGATTTCATATACAAATATCTATAATCATGTTTTATTTTTTAAATTTTAAATTTAAATTGATATTAAACCATAGCACCAACACAATAGAGACGACCATGCAACGTTACTCGGGGGAATACAAAACAATATAGCAAACGACAGTATGAATTCCTAAAAACAAAAACCCGACAATGCCATGTTTCCGGAAGGGTAAGTGTGTCCTTATCAGCATGTGATACTTGAGACTATTATCAAACCCAGAGAGTATATCATTTTCCATTAAAAACGAACGTAATAGGTTGTCGATTAGGAATAAAGAAAGATAATGTCTTCATCTCACGTTGAAGATGGCATGACTAAATTGTTGATGAATTCATACACATGGTCACATGTAACGCACGTGTATATGTGTGGGTCACCATACAAAAACTAATGTTAAATGCGATGTTTGCTAAAGAATAACATGTCTGTTATTACCTGTATAAAACATTATGTAATTTGCTGTCTGAACACCGTGTTTGAAAATCAATGACGAAAAAAAACGCCGACGTGAACAGACATTAGCAAAGTGATACATATCATCAAATATCTGGAGCTATATTTGAGTTATACTTCTCCAGTTTTGCCTGTAGATTGCAATTGATAACATGTTGTTCGGACCCAGGTATATGATATAATCTTCCCTATAACACTATTCTCAGTGATCCAACTTTTCATAATACGGACTGTATTGTTACAGTGAGATTAAATAGGTGTGGAATAATACACTGTAATACTTACTTGTGATGTTAACATGTATGTTTCTGTTTGACGACTCTCCTGGTGAGCGGAGAGTTATGGAGTAATCGCCTCCATAGTTACAGCCAACTCCTTTTAATCGGGTGATATCCACTCGCATCACACCATACTGCTGGGTAAATTGTATTGTCAAATTCTGCTCTTTATGTGCCGTTTTAGAATCCACAAAAAATGTGATTGGGAACGATGGTAGCATTGTTCCAACGCCATTTTCCGTCTTGGTATGGTTCACGAGAACTTCTTCGACGTCATGACCAGGACACCATGCGCAAAATAGTATAAAGTTGTTTTCAGCGTGAAGTGATTTAGTCTCAGATCCGGGACAACTTGGTGGCACCGCTGACACAGAAAACATTATATTGGGTGACAATACATCTTTAATACATTGTGACTTTATGTTTGTATTAAATGTTTTCATTCATTTTACTTGGTAATAAACCATTTATTGTTTAACAACGTAACACAAAACAATTTTTCTTTATGTAAAACACCATGATATAAAGAGAATGACATGAACGAGTAATACAATGACACACTCGTTGAAAACGTTTTAAATGTGGTTACTCGTCGCCATACTTGTTGTTAAAATAAGTATATTAATGAAATAAATGACACAAACGAGCTTCAAGTGCGAAGTTTAACCGCGTGTTCCTAGATGTGTGTCTGAACGATGTATATAACATTTTTAGGGTCTACGTAAGCGTCATTCAAACAAAGCACTACGTCATCAAATGTGATAATGAAAGGGAATTTACGTATCGCTTAGAGTTGTGAGTAGTATTAATTTCTAATGCAGTACCAACTACGTGCAAAATATGACATATTTAAACGTATTTAATCCCATTAAAATGGCTTCAGTATTTGAGTGTTATTTTTCCTATGTAAATATACATTAAACATGATTTACATGTAACGCTGAAAACATTATTAACAAATAAATATTAAAAATATGTTTATCAAACACAATTTTATATCATTTTTTTTCGGTAGTCAGGCGGTGCTGTTAAAGCTTACTTGCCTTCCCCAAATTTGACCGCATTTCGACTCCTGATCAAGAGTGCAAATGTATGTTATCGCCGACTCAACCAGAAATATTTTCCTTGGTACTCAAGTTAAGTCCAACATGTAGACCCAGTTCAACCAAAGTGATTAATATAAGATAATAAAACATATGATGTTTTCCACACGCTAATTTAAAGAAATTAATTATTTACCTGATGTTACCTCGATTTCGATATTGGTGCGCGAGCCGTCTGAATAGTTTAAGGTCATATGTCCTTTGTCGCCGCAGTGGACCTCCGCTATAGTAATATTGATTTCCATAATGTGTGCATTTTTCATGGCAGTAAACGTAAGGCGACCATTGAGGGCTTTCCCGCTTCCTTCGCCGTAAATGGTCAGCAACGTTGACCAGTCACCAAAGTAGTAACTCTTCCTCTCCAGAGCGATATTCATATCTCCATTTATTCTCTTCTTGCAGTTGATGTACCCAGGCTCGCCGATCGCGAAGGATACCAAAGTGCAATAATCTGATGTAACAATTGCAAAAAATCATTAATATATAATACTTACACTGAATTAATGAACACCTGTTCCTAATATATACATATGTTTATAATGCCTTTACTTAAACCCAAACATTTCCATTCTTCTTGCAGTTGAGGTATCCGGGCTCACCTATCGTGAACTGAAGGTCTGGCAATAATCTAATGTGACAATTGGTTAAATGAATAAATATATATACCTCTGCCTACTGCAAAATCCTTTTTTTTTAAATAAACATAAACAGCCTCCATATTGGTTGAATGAAGGACAGCATTCTTCGTATCTGGTTATTTATCAGCTCAATTTGCAGGATTGTGTAAAGATTTACATAATATCTGCCCAGCAGGGCCGGAGAGTTTTCAAAATAAAATTGAAAAACAGCATATTGAATACCATGCTTGTAATGTTACATGGTCAATTTTTGAAAGAAAATATGGAAATTACTTCATTTAAGGTTGAAGTGATAACAGTTTGTGAAATAGTGCTATTCCTATGACTTACTTAATAGGTCTGCGCTTTTAGTGTCCATTTGTCCAGCCTTGGCTAGTTGGTGCACCCCGTCATTTGGCTTCAGGGAACATATGACTTCATCTTTTGACATCCAGATGTCTGCGTCGATATCCGTTGTACATACAACCTCTCCTCCTTTATAAATATTGAACGAGTAAGAACAAGACGCGTCATGAATAAATAAAGTATCTTCTCCCTTTTTTAGTTCCGGTACGAGAACACCGTGGCGACATCCCGTTTGCATTGAACATGAGAGGTGTACGGATTTGTTGACGCCATTTTCTTTCAAGTACGGTTGAGCAGATACACGTACATCATCCAAATTGCCTGACAACGATATGAATTAAACATGTTATAGAAATTGTCAATAAAGATAGAGACACTTATAATAACCCGTAGAAATGTACATGTTTAATCTACGCTATTTCATATTGTAAACTTTGTAAAAACTCCGCTAACGGTATAGTACAGTACATCGCTTAAACATCGCAAAATCTACATTTTCACAGTATGTTTTGAGGAAAGGCTTTAAATATCACACAAGCATATATAATAAAACATATCTAGCTGTAATTTCTTATTACAACAAACACGATCGATTTTTTTAAACTAAGTCAGTAACAGGTGTGTTCAATACCATTCCAAATGTATATTATTTAATGTGTTAAATGGCGATATTCAAGAATAATGAAATATATAAGGAAATTTGTTATTATTATGATGCTATTTCATCATGAAGGTAATCAATAAAGTAAGTTCAATTATAAAATTCAAGATATGTATATACATATCTTTTTTCGCTCTGTCAAGCTTTAACTTAATTGTGCTTGCGCTACACGAAGTTAAAATTTCACTCTACATTAATAAGTTCATCTATACAGTTGAGCATACAACATTAACATATCATAATGCACAGTAATGATACATACTGTATTAAAGCCGTCCTTTGCCCATCTATATCGAACGGTTCGAGCTTCGTGACATCGCTTGAATTAACACTTTATATATGTATAAATTAAGACAAATCTATATTTATATATATATACTCACCCAGATAAGTAAGTGAGAACGTTTGGTAGTATACAAGGCCTTCTAAATTGTTGAGGTACTCAAATAAATACGTTCCTTGTGTGTTACAAGTCAAATTTCCAAGAAGTGGTGACACTGTTAGTTTTTCTGTAACAGTTGACCATCTGATAGTCCATAGCCCGGCCAAAGTGATATTGAAGGAATCAGACAGACGTAGACTTGAATTAAATGTTGTCTTATTGCCAGGAAAGTACAACCTCACTTTAGAAATGTCAAAGATAACACTTGCTGCGAGGCTTGAACAGTCGGACTGCGCAGAAGTGGAAGCATTTAGGGTTATGGTTCCAGCACAGAATGGCAATGGTTCTGAACCTATAGTTCCCGGAAGTATTGAGTAAAACTTTGACAAACAAATAATGCATAAAAACACAGTAAGAATAAAAATAGTAATCGTTGTTATGACTTATAAACTGATTCATTGATAAATTAATACATGTTCAGTCTCATAAGCATTTACTATACATCAACCTAAATAGAAATATGTGTAAAATATAAAAAGAAATGGAAAACTGATCTGATATATCAGAAGATTGTACATAGGAAAGTCTCAGTCGCTTTGTAAAAACTAATTATTTTCCTCAAATGCTTTTAAAATATCAGTTTTTCAAAAAGTGTTTTACTAATTCAAAAAACATTTTATGAGTTATAAAAAAAGAGAAAAATGAATTATTTTTTTAAACAATACATTTAAGTTGAAATCAACGCACATGCAATGTCTCTTCAATTTTTTTAAGTTCTCTTCATCATCAAAATAGTTACTAAAAATGTAACGAAAGGAAATACCTCTTTACAATATAGTACATGTTTACCGTATTCCGTCTTTGCGTATTGCAGAGTTATCTTCTTTTGTGAGCAGGTATTGCTTGTTACGTCATTTGTTTGTGAAAGTAACGTCATCAATTTTTGAGAAAACGACGTTCTCACACAAACCAATGATGTAACAATCAATACATGTACCTGCCCACAAGAGAAGATAACCTGTTAGGTTAAAAACAGATATTATTTTCCTAAAAATATACAATGTATACCTCTAGGAGGTGGATGATTGGTCGGTTCCGGTAAATATATTATCCCGAGGATGACAAGGACAGTCACTGCTGAAATCATTGTTATAATGCTGACAAGGAACCATGCTCTTCGAGAGGAATTGTTCTGAAAAAGATAAGAAAAATGGGCGTAACAACATCAGCTCGACATCAATCGTTACAGGGTCATTGTTTGAGAAATTGATTGAGATATTATATTTATCTCATCAACACAATTAAACGGGATATTGTCCAAACAAAATACATTCGTTATCCCTCACTACAAAGATTTGTGTAGCTTTATTCAACATGAGGCTATTTGAAAAGAAGAAAAAAATAGGAATATTTGATTGGTATTTTTCCCAATAAAAATATAATTGAAAAATACTATAACTCTTTGATGAATCCATTAACATTCAGGAGACGATTGCATTCTAATGTAATTAAATAAGTTATTAAAAATATTATTTTCCTGAACACCGACCTTGGCATTTCCGTCCTTCTGACCGATCTGTTCATCTGATATGAACATGCGCCTGCCTCTGTCTGTCATCTCGATTTGTTCGGCGGAGGCTGCCCCACTAAAATGCTGCACATAATGCAAAAGAGTATGGTTCAAATTAATACGTATTTTAGCATAACAGTACCGTTAGTAAGTTACATTAAATACAGCGGCATATGCTTTACTTACAAGTCGTAATAATGATACGTAAGACATACAAATGTACAACTAATGCTTACTTGCTAAACCCCTTATGACTTTTAAACTTCGTATGTAGATATTACCAATCAAATATGTGTTAAAAATTAATCATCTTAGTATATAAAGATACGTAAGACAAACAAATGTACAACTAATGCTTACTTGCTAAACCCCTTATGACTTATAAACTTCATATGTAGATATTACCAATTAAATATATGTTAAAATTAATCATCATAGTATATAAAGATACGTAAGACATACAAATGTACAACTAATGCTTACTTGCTAAACCCCTTATGGCTTATAAACTTCGTATGTAGATATTATCAATTAAATATATGTTAAAATTAATCATCATAGTATATAATTGTGTATAATTGTTTATAGCATATCACTTATTGTTACGGGTTATAAAGACTGATAAATCTTATAAACAAATAAATAAGTAATATTATACCACGACCAATCACCCCAGTTATACGGTATTTCACTGCTTGATTGAATGAGGCGACTAACGTAGGTTTCTATTTCTGTGTCAAATGCTGCGAACGCATTGACCAGAGCAATATCGACCTTTTGTCAACAGTTGCAGCATTTGGGACCTTTCCCCCTTTTTCTACCTTTTCTGTACTGAGATAACTAATCGTTTTTTATCCATCCTACCTCATATCTTTCAACCGGTCCAGTTATTCGTGACACTAACCGAAGAAAATCTTATCTAAATTGACTTTGAGATTACAAACTTAGTTACACCTTCGCAATGACTACTCCTCAAACTATATTTTTATTGTGTGAGTTCTTAAATTATGGGACGATTCGGCGAGCGTAATAAACTGAAACAACAATAGTTATAAATATGTGCTATGCAAATCTTTCAAAATCTCACAACCTGAGAAACCTATTTCAGTGGGAAAGACAACTATCGTATACCGGGAAACATTCGCCCTGTCAAATGTTCGCCTGTCGCCGTTGAAATCAATTTTAACCCAATGCTAACTTCGCTGTTGCATTTACTTACTGTACATATAATATTTTTTTCAATATACATATTAATGTTTACTATATATATAATAATGTTGACTATATATATAATAATGTTGACTATATATATAATAATGCTTACTATATATATAATAATGCTTACTATATATATAATGATGTTTACTTGTCCACACTGTTGGAATTACTTCTTTGCCTCATATAATGATGTTTACTATACATATAAGTATGTTTACTATATTAATATAATGATGTTTACTATACATATAATGATGATTTCTATATATATAATAATGTATACTATATATATGATGTTTTCTATGTATATAATAATGTTTAATTTTCACTGTAATGAAAAATTCTCTCTCATTACGAAAAGCGAAAATGCAAAAGTAAGCCGACAGTGAATACTTCACGGTATGGAGCATTTTGTCAACATGTTTGTGGGCATTTAAATTTAAAACAACCTTTTTGTGAGAATATAATGAAATTACCACGTGATGGTAAATGTATTAAAATAACATTTTGTTTGTAGCAACATGTCTAAATGCATCAGTGTGAAAGTATCTTTTATGTAAATATCAGCTTACTCTATCCCTCGACATGTCTCTATCTCATACTGGACAACGATGGTCCGACTTAGACCTATTACATACCAGTGACGCCATATCAGAAGAGGAGCTGTTGTTAAGGTTTGTGTAGGAGTTAGCATATGACACACCTCTTAGAAAGGAAAAATTATTGTCCTGAAATATAAGAAAAAAAATCACAAAAAATGACAATGACATATAAATACGCATGCGTTATTGCAGCTTTGATATGTCCCAGGTCGACTGACATATGAAATATACAATTGCGTCACACCGCTGAACAGGTAAATACTTGTAATACAAATCGCTCACTCAGTCCTAGTTGAAAATAGAATAAGTCAATGAAACCACCAGAGCATATATAACTCATTATATGAATATGTAAGTGCTTAGCTGGTTCTGGACAAATACAAACATATGCGCTTTGGAAGGTATGCAAATCTACACAGTAAACAGTAATCTAGGATACACGTTGTTTTGATTTGTCAAGGCACGCTCTAGCTTATTTCATTTAATTGTGAATTAAGATTTATAGATACTGGCATGAGATATTTGTCGGTATTGTAGTTTGCGTCTCTGTGCTTTTAAACATTCGTTGATGCAAACTTTTCCTGCAACTTAACACCTGTGGGTTTGAGTTCAGTATTTGCATTTCGCGTATACATGGTTCAAGTATATCTATAAAAGCTGATAACTTCAATACATAATTTCATATCGTTGAGTTTGATACAGCTTGACTTCATATATCTAAAAGTACAAATGTACCTGAACAGGTTGTTTACCTGGTTATCGAATTGCTTATAGCTACAGTATTTGTAACGTGACAGACTGTATTCAGTGCACTTCAATGTAGATTCCATTGAATACTATGAACTTGAAAGTAAAACCAAAAACAAACATACAAACAAACAAAAAATAAACAACAAAAGAACACCGAAATGTCAACAAAATCTTATTTGAACTCCAAATAGATAAAACTAGGACAAGGTATGAACAAAGGAAACACGAAGACAAAAAGGGAATGAGACCATGTGTTCTGAAAGAGTAAACAGTGTCTGTTTCTTTGATGTGAATCTAACTCGAATAAAGTAATGTCACGTGATCACATCGAGAGCTCGAGTAATGACAACAAAACCACAAGTCATCCTAATGAGTATAATAAAATAAATCGACCATTTATATAACACAAATAAACAGCATATTTCCTTTTCAGATCTTGAAGGAGACTATAGACCTTGGCCTGTGCACTAAAAACAGACTGTCACGTTACATTGGCTTGTGTTGTAAGTTTGTCTAGATTTGCTTTAATACTATGATCTATGATCATACATTTGTATGGTCAGGTTGCGTAAAGATCAGAACAAAGTCTTACCTGGAGTAGCTCATGGACAGAGATCTTTACACACTAGACTAGGTAAGATGTATGTATAGTTAGTTAAAATGGGATAAATGTGATATGGCCCAAGGAAGTTCGATTTCGTGTGGCTAGTTATACAGTGTTAATAGTGATTAAATAAGATATTTTGTGATGTTAGCACAGTATTTAGCCTTACAACTGGGATTAGCTGTAATATGATGTTTCTTTTTATTTCAGAATATTTTATTGTACATATCTTAAGTATAATCGGAATTGCGCAACAGGCATATCCTTTACAAGTCCTTTTCTTCATGCACTGTATACCTGTTCACTGTTCCTAATTCTGACAGACATCATTCATGATACCGCACCACACAGCTTTTGCTTAGCGTATTGTGTTAAGAATGAAAGGAAATAAATGCATCCTAAATGAAAGACCAGGGAGAGACCGTGACTGGGCAAATTAAAGGTATTGACGTGCATAGGCCGTTTGTCGGATTGACAACTTGTGTTGGCGTTCATAAATTTAATAACATTTATAATCTGTTAACCTACCTGCGTTTCTGTGTTAACGTTGATATAACCTGCATATTAGTGACGTCAAAGATATTATTGTGTAAGTCCAATTAGAATGCTTTCAATTTGAAATAATTTGTTTTACCTAACCACACCGGTTCTACTTAAGCAGCCATTCAAATATTTTATAGTCATATCTTCTTAATATTTGTCGGACACGACATGCTTCTTATTAGAAAAAAAACACATTTATGTTTCGTTATGAACAGCGTACATAACAACATATCATATCAACGAGTGTCTAAAATGACAAATTACATCGATAACACAATAAATGCTGAAATGGTGATTATTTTGTTTGATATCTTCCATTAATTAAGAACATACAGATTTACAGAGAAATCGAGGTTACACAATGAGTGGTTGTTGAATATGGTATTTATTTCACTCGAGTTAGTTAATTTTCAAAAGTAAAAAAAGACACCAGCTTTAGCTAGTGTCTTTCTGTAACTTTTGAAAATTAACTAACGAGATTGAAATAAATACCATACTCAACAACTACGAGTCGTGTGATCTGTTTCTACCACAATCTCAGTCGGAAACAGCTGGAGTATTTCCTGATTTGAATAGCATACACAAATTGTGTTGACAAGACTTGCGTAGTGATTTGACCCATATGTAAAAAGTAACTCATTAATATTCAAAAAAACTAATCGCTGTCTATGTCCAAAACCGTAGCCTGGGACGTTTCTTCGTGATGTTCTATGGTTGACGTTTATAGCGAGGGTTCCGCCATAGACAGACCCTCCAAATATTAATAACTGGACATGGGGAAAACGGAATATTTTTCGACACTGTTATAGATTTTGTTTGTGTTTCACAGAGACATATATTATGTCTCTAGGGTTCACAACCTGGACACGCGAGGGTATGGCGTCGAAACGATATAGAGCGTCTGTAGCAATTTTGCCTGAAACTGTTGCCTTAATAACCCCTTTTTCCTATCGCATAACCTCACAAAAGTCACCAACATTTGCTGGATGTTGACGGCAGACGAAGTTAACAAAACAGCACGCTGCAAAAAGCGCGTGAAAAAGTCGTCCGGTCAAACTTCATCTATTAGACCAATCAAAACTACGGAAGGTCATATACCACGTGTGGTGTGTAACCCATATCTATTCAACAGTCTGCATGTTTATAAAATGGTCTGAGAATGGAAAAACGCAGCGTATTGTGGTAGAAACGAAGAACCCCCCTAGTTGTAATGTAAATACTTGGTTTTAGGAAAATGAGCGGTATACATGTTATGTATTAAGGTAAAGCTAATGTTCAGCTATGTGGTTAAGTGCACTAGGGGACAAAACTAATACTTCAATTGATATATCGGTTTTGATAATTCATAAAGTCAATATTGCGTCGAAGTTGTATCACTTGCATGTCTATTTTTAACTGCATGTGCTTTTTCTCAATCGTTTAGTAACTCTATAAGCATTAATTTGTTTCGACGGTGGACTCCCAAATAATGAGATCTTATCAAAACTTTCTGAGGCAGCCTTTTATCATCAACAGTTACCAAGGTATTCGAACTCAAAATAGATAAAGTAGGGCAAAATATGAACAAACAAAAGACTTCCAAGAGTGGTGTCACAATCAAGAAAGAGGAAGTTCCACATATGGTACATCTTAGTAATAAGCCTTCATTGTTTGTCAAGTAGTAGGTAAGATCGCGGAAAGCGGCTGAGGTAGGTGTGATAGAACAACTCAGTCAAAACATTCCTATTATTTAACCATCTCACCACTGCAGACCATAATGGACTTATCCAGATCAATACATGGTAGAGTTTACTAAAGTTACATAGTGAATTGGTTAAGACAGTAACTCGTAGATATATCTGAGAGTGAAAATGAGGGACTAGTCAAGTTGTGTTTGTTACCTGTCCAGATAAGATCATCGTTATATTCATCCCGAAGTGGAAACGCAAAGGCGCCAGAATAACCCATATTTTGTTTTCACGGGAATGAAGTGTGCACGATAGCTTCGCCACCAAGCTAAACACAGTTACTGTCACCTAGAAACTCATCATTTTCATGACTTCACCCTTATTTTTTTCACTTTTGCTTTTGGTACGAAATTTGGTCCGAAATAGTGTAGAACCAGTTGTTGATATCTTCGTTTGCATTTATTGGGAAGAAGGCTTCAAGAGAGTAAAATATGTCTCTTCGATAAATTATGAAACTAATGTATTTTAAAGTGAGAAAACGTTTATAATTTTGATTAAAAACATCTTTTCAACTTTTTAACATCCAATATTCCACTTCTGAAGTATACAGTGTCACACTACGACTGTAACTTTGATCAAATGGTGCTAAGAATGGAGGGGAACCGTGCTTACAACGGTATCATTTATAGTGCCACCTCACTTGAATGCTACAGCACAGATATCGCACCATCCTCCCATACCATTTTATATTCCACCAGGGTTGTTGGAGTTGTGTGAGCCGGTGTGGAGGACCGGGGTGTGAACCACTCGACCAATCCGCCCACGTCAAATTGCTATTAAATCCATAACATTAAAACAAACAAAATCCAATGCACAACACCTACCTTACCGAAGCACCCATACTATACTTTCTATATCCACACTATGTAAACTGCACTGCGTATACATTTCGTCGTACCAGAGGGACTGTGACATACGGCTACTTACTATTGTAAGGTCTGACATAGTCCCCACGCCGTACCTAACGTTAGAATGAAATAGTCTTCATATGCTTACAGCACCGCATTCACCTAAACAAGGAAGTGAAAAACAATTTGACGAGTATGTTTGCTTGGTTTTACCAATCAATTTTAAACCAGTTATTCTCATGTATATGTGCTTTAAATTAAGATTCCATAACTCATTCAATATCTTACACGTGATTAGTTTCTCGATCAATAGATACCCTCTTCGTGTAGTAGACAGGTATTCATAACTCTAAACAGAAGTGTTTAACCAGCTAACATAAAACGGTATTCAGTATCGATTTATGGTGCGCTTGTCACTGCATACAATATGTTTTATAATGTACAGTATATTGTAAAATCCATTTGGAATTTATTGAGTGCGCTGTCATGCAGTAACCTATTCAATATTTCATCTTTGTGAAGATCAGACATTGACTACTCCTTAGTATATAGCTCGGTCGTTATTGAATCAACTAGACTACATGTATAGATGGCATGTTTAAAGTTTAATGAGGAACGTTACATTAGTCTCCAACACTGATCCCATAAAAACAAAAGATGCATCAAAAAGATATTGTAATGTCATAATACATCTTAATAACAACTTTTAACAAAATCGAACAATACTGTAAACGTACTTATTTTAGCGAATTTAAATTTTAGCGCATTATCGAATTGGTTTAGATTAACACATTGATGGATTGCCGCACCACGAAAATATGCGATAAAAACAATATACCTAGGACTTACTGCTAAGTATGTACCTTTCCAGAATATAAATTTCGACCAACCAAATGACAGCGGCAATTTTTCCCAATTAAGGAATACTAATTGCAGTAAAGTGCCATTATATTCCCACATGTCAAATTTGAGCAAATTCAAACAATAATTAAATCAGTGTATTTTTTCTCATTTTACCAAAAATGTTTTAAAGAAGTTTTCTCAGAAATCACCCGGCAGGAAATAATAAAGTTTTACAATGTAGATATGTATGTGTAATGTGTAGATCTCATATTTTCCCGATCAGACTGCACACATTTTTTGCTTCGGCCTGTCATAGACATACCGAGACAGCAGTTAAAATAGCATGTACTCCAAGGTTAGGCTTTATGTTGCACTCTGTTTTATTTCAAATACATTGTCGATCACTACTACACAAGTAATTTAGGGGAATTTGTAACAGTTCCTACTATAATAACAGATAATATTCTTAGTATTTTGTTTTCGCCAGAAGGTTTCCGAATGTTCCCCTTGAAGTTAGATATAGATCAAAGGTATGGTTAGCCTACCCTCCCTCTATCCGTTTTTGTTTGTTTGTTTGTTTGTCTGTTTGTTTGTTTTGGGTATGACGTGACCAAGTAGACGAAGCGTTTGAGTGGGGGTAGCAAATCAATTTTAGTTCTTCAATGTCCTCCTAGCAGAAGTAAATCCCTGATTCTGTAGTAGACGCCCTCACCAGTCGGCCCCTGATTCTGCAGTAGAGGCCTCACCAGTCGAATCCTGAATCTGCAGTAGAGGCCCTCACCAGTCGAATCCTGATTCTGCAGTACAGGCCCTCACCAGTCGGCCCCTGATTCTGCAGTAGAGGCCCTCACCAGTCGAATCCTGATTCTGCAGTAGAGGCCCTCACCAGGCGGCCCCTGATTCTGTAGTAGACGCCCTCACCAGTCGGCCCCTGATTCTGTAGTAGACGCCCTCACCAGTCGAACCCAAATTCTGCAGTAGACGCCCTCACCAGTCGGCCCCTGATTCTGTAGTAGACGCCCTCACCGGTCGAACCCAAATTCTGCAGTAGACGCCCTCACCAGTCGAACCCTGATTCTGCAGTAGACCCCCTCACCAGTCGAACCCTGATTCTGCAGTAGACGCCCTGACCAGTCGAACCCTGATTCTGCAGTAGACGCCCTCACCAGTCGGCCCCTGATTCTGTAGTAGACGCCCTCACCAGTCGAACCCTAATTCTGCAGTAGACGCCCTCACCAGTCGGCCCCTGAATCTGCAGTATAGGTCCTCACCAGTCGGCCCCTGATTCTGTAGTAGACGCCCACACCAGTCGAACCCTGATTCTGCAGTAGACGCCCTCACCAGTCGAATCTTAGTTACAACATGAAGTTGGATACAGGAGGTCTATTCTGTCCTCAAACCTGCAGGGGCACATCCGGGTAATCAAAGGTCAACGAGTGGGGTTTGTAGAAGAGAAAGGAATGATTTTAAATTATATATCATTTTGGTTACTTTCGTATAAAAAAAACCCACATGCTTTCATAGTGACAAATAGTAAAAGGGAAAAGTAGTAAAACTGCTAATTTGTTGCGACAAGTTGTATCAACCTGGCTGCAACCGCGAATAAGTATATCAGATAACGGTAGAGTTTTGGGGTCGGTTACATCCTCCCTTCTGCATAACTTTCAATCCGGGAATATGAACTGAGAATATCTCAAATATGGTAAAATTCTTTAGATTCAAGATAAAAAAATATTTTGAAACGAAATTGTCTTTATTATAAAAGCCTTTCCTCTAATTATATCAATAATAATAATCAAATACAACATTTGATATTGCGCCCTATCTAGCTAACATAAGCTACTCTAAAGTGCTTTACAGTAACATAGATATACAATTAATATAACTATACATACATTAATCAACACAATTTTGAGGAATTCGCAGGAGCTGGCTTATCAGGCGCTCTAGTCCTATACCACCTGGCTAATATCTCCCTATGTGTGTATGCCTGTGTGTGTGCTGGATATGTAATGTGTTCTGTTTGTTGTGGGATCAGATAATGCAACATCAACCCACGCTTTCTCTGAATATCCATGCGTACGACGACTTCGGGGATCAATTTCCGTCCGCCTGCGTAGAAGGCCGGGGTGTTAACGACTCGACCAATCCACCCATAACCGATCACCAATGATTGTCATAGCACACCGTTTATCTATCGTGCCCACAAATGTGCACAAACTTTAATCGCCCAGTATATATATCAACGTTCGCACATCTTGCACACATCGTTCACACATCGTGCACACATCGTGAGCACATCGTGAGCACACTGCACATCGTATAACATGGTGCGATCCAACAACTATTCGATTTACTAATCAAATATTTATAGTACAATAAGGACGAAGTTAAACTATCGGTGCAATATCTAATAGTCCACAATATTTACATCAAATAAAGTGTGTCTTCATTATTGATGTATCATACATTTGGTTAAATAGGTGACTTCCATTTTCTGTCTGGACAAGACAGCTGCCGTAATCCCTCTTCTGATTGAGCGAAATTTCGATAATGGGTAATTTTGTCTAAATAAGATATGTGAAGTGTATTGCAAGCTCTTTTTGATTCATCAGTTACGACTATTGGGGCAGCTGTAAAAACTTATGTTATTTAGCCCGCCGAAAATGAAATTAATTATCTTGTGAATGTTACTTTCACCAACGTAATAATGTCAAATAAATAATGACTGACATCTAGACTACGGATTTGTCAATGTCTGATCTTTACAATATGCTGATAACACGTATGTAACACAGGTAAAATGTTCAATAAATTACAGCATGAAATAATAAATAATTTAACAAACCCAACATGGCTAAATCTTGTAACATACATTGGAAATCATATTGTAGAAGGGCAAATCTGCCCAACAATGTCGTTATTGAATACCGCCTAATTATACAATGTTGCGTATCATTTGTCAATAAGGCTAAGAAATGTCTCTAATGGAAAAGAATTATTTGTTAAGTTTGAATAAGTTATATAGTCTGAATATAATGCAAACATATATGTAAATATTAAAAAAGAAACAAGAACAAAAAAAACGTGACATTTGGTCTTGAGTGATTTGATAGACTGCACTATAATTTTCGCTCCAATATATTTCACTTCCTTGTTAACTGCGGTATAACATTTTAGTGAACGGTGTGATACTGAGACGTTGCTCTGCCACCTATTTGTATTTGTAAATAGACGTATGTCAAAGTCACCCGGTTTGGACGAATTCCATATCGGGTTCGTTGTACATAATAGTGCCAGTATACATGTTGTGCATTCTGGACGTGTAGTCTGATTCGTTCAGGTAGGTGTTGTCCATGGAAGTTCGTCTTTATAATATTACTGAGTTTGGTTTCGTGATTGTTGGTGCATTCAAATTGTTCACTTTAAAAAATGTAGTTGAACATAATAGGTTTATAAACAGAACGAATATTGTACATACCACGTATAATATGTATGAGAAGCATGGAATGTTTACCTTTTCTCTACAGCTCCTCATTGATTGTCGTCTTTCCTAACAGTATTTCTAGAACAAAATGAGTCATATGTTTCAGGAAAATTCAGAAATTTTGTAAGCAATTACTATATGATTATGAGATATTTTTGTTCTGTGTTACATGCGATTCCGTATTATTATCAAGAAACCTAATAATGCTATTTGTCATTATGTATATTGTAAAAAGTTGCGTTTAAAAATCAGTGAAACACGTATACAAATTCTCTGTTAAGCCTTCAGGGCAAGAACAGGAACAAGGCAACAAGGAAGAGAAATAGTACATGTATAAAGGACGGGGGAGGGGGGCTATGGTTTTATTAATCACAGGCTTCATTTTAAAACCAACCTTACTGACAGGCGTTTGTTGTGAATATAAAAGAATCATGTGAACCCTACGCATTATTGCGTATCGCTTTTCATTAAGGCTATGTATACAAGTGTCATTTACACGTGTAGGATGTGTTCATGTGTGTACAGTCTTACAGGGAAGTCATAGCTACAAACGCAGTCACCCGTTACATTACTGTTTTGTCTATGAAAACACATTCTAAGTGGCCTCACTTAATTTACTTATAACGAGCATTATATATCTTTTTGGTTCAGAATATGCAATATTCGTTAGTTTTAGAGATTAAGTAATAATTATCGTGGTAGTAGTGATGATAATAGAGTTGTTTTAATTTTAACCTGTTAAATTCGAACGTTAAGTTAACAATTATGTTAAAAATTGGCACTATACTGATTGGTTAGACTAGACAATCATTACCGCTCAATCGTTTACATAAAGACATTTTTTTTGTACAGTTTGTCACGGAGTGGGGGCTCTGTCAGACAATTTAAATGGTAAGTAGCCGTATATCGAAGTCAACCGAGAAGTACATAGATATTTAAAACGTTAGTGTATATGGTGTGTATAGGGGACATTATGTCTTAGTGCATCGGTCAGGTGGGTGTTGTGTTTGACATATATTTGATTGTGTACTGGCGATATAAATATTATCCAGAACGACTAAACTGGTGTTACATTCATATTGTGACACTGAATACGAGAGAATACCGTTACGGAGGCACGGTAAACTATTGGTAGGACGCCGGGGTCGTGACCGAGAGGTTGCGGGTTCGAGTCACGGCACGGCAATGTGTTGTATCTTTGAGCAAGATACTTTACTCTGCTTGTTCCAGTCTACTCAGCTGTAAATTAAATGAGTTCGTGGTTGGGCAGTGCTAGAATGGTTAAATGCTAGGTGTAAGCGCGAAAATGGAAGCTCAGGCTGTAAGCTCCCCATTGAGTTGAAAAGGTATTGGCTGGTTGCAAAGGCCCTATAACCACGGATAATAATTTGTGAACGACTTTGTAACGACCTATGGACTAGGTTGTGATAAAGTGGTATAAAAGAACCTAGAATTTTATTATTATCATTATTATTATTATTATATAACTTTTGACTGCGACAATTTTACGCTACCATATCTCATATAAATCTGAAGTGACGTTTTCATTCTCTCATTATGAGGATTTTCCCCAAGAAATCAGATGAAATAAGTTATGGCTTTCTGTGATATCTGTGCTTTTCATGATGATCATAAATGTCCCTTTTCGTTTTGTTGTCACTACCCCAATTCTCGCTTTAGGGACGTGACATTACTTTGATTATAACTAGGTTAATATGGTTGGTACAGTCGATGATGATGAAGGAGAATACGCTTGTAGATGTAGCTTATCCTCGATACTCCACGGGTTTACCTCACTTTCTAATCTGTCGGTCGCGTAACGGTAAAATTGACAGCCTTTTATGTCCTCAGTAATCTACAAAGGACAGGTATCAGCCTAAGTGATTGGTCAGGTATTTTTATTTGGGACCAATCAAATTGCTAGTTGCGTTTCTTTAATTTTGCTATGACATTCTCCAGGGGTACTTTGAGCGAAGTGAGAGTATCAAGGATGCATGTACAGTGTAGCTTTAAATTAACTTAATCAAGAATATGACAAACTACATGAAGACTACTGCCTACCGATTTTTCTAGCTAAGCAGTTACATATTCGTGAAATGCGTGCAATTATTTTATTCACAAACTAAGGTACAAACCTGTCAAATTTTGATTGCCGATTTTCGAACAATCTTCCAATCGAGTAACCGGTTAATAGGCCAATTTGGTAATTAAACAATTAACAACGACAATACGTTATATGTTTAGCAAATGTTCGATTCAAAACGTATTTACACCACATAAATGTTTATCAATTAGCATGATAGTCTACTTGTGTATTTCAAGCCTAACACAGGAAATAGTTATATATACCCCCAGTAAGTATATGTCATGGCCAAAAACTGTCGGAATACAGTTAGGGCGTTATCTGACACGTTTTTGTACATGTTTGCTCATTCAAGTGCGAGCTATTCAGATTAAATTTATATCTCGCATATAATATCGAGGTCTACCTCTAAAAGATCATATTTCACAACTGCGTTATCTGGCGTGCTTTTAAAACCTGTTCAGTTGTTTATGGTGCTTGCGGCATATCTTTGTCAATCTTTACAATAACACTAACATGTCGGCCTTAGCACTGTTTTTATTACACAACTATCCGATTTTTGTCATATTGTATACATTATTTGTAGGTTTAAACCAGGGAAATATGGGCTGCTCAAAGGTGTAAATAAATGTCGAATTATTCGATTATTAATTTTGGTAACCGCTTTACGTTCTTTCGACCGAGTAACCAGTTACCCGGCTAACCCTTGACAACTATACAACATACCCCATTGTTCAGCTCAATCTGATGAAGGGTGTCACTATTCAGAATTGTAGCATTACACATGATTGTGATAAATGCTGAAATATAAAATGCATATGCAAGTTTTCGTACTAATTATTCTTTCATATTTTTATTTTTTTTCTTGTGTCCAGACAAGTGCTGATTTCTTCTAATAGATATGTCGTATGCCAACCAATACGTCAATACCCACAACAGCTCTCCTTTGGAGATGTCGCCAATGGTAAGTATTATGGACAAGTAAGACCGTCCTTGTCTAGTAGTAGGGAGGGACACTCTTAGTTGGGGATTATGTTAATATTTGCATATAGATTTTTTTTACGAACTTTGATCAATGAGATATCCAATCGATAACTTTACAATCTTATCTCATTTTAGTATGCTCGCGCGAAGTTTCCCATAACTCACAAATGTTTACCTAGTGAAGTGTACGTTCACGGAACAGACATATTTAAGGTGTTAACAAGAACATATTTTAAAAGTTTATTTCAACAATAGCTTCTAGATTTCTCTCCTGCAATGACTAGACAGGTTGAGTAATTTGAGGTGGTAAGTATGAAAAACCGAATTTCATTTAAAATGTCTGACAGCTACAACAACTTATTCGAATTTCGATTGCCAAAACAAATTTATATATGCATTTTGGAAAAAGGAAATGTTTTTTTAAGCAATTTATAATTACAAGTACATAGGTTAATAGTAATCTGCTATTTAAACCTTCATATGTATCTCTTAGAGTTGAGACGCAATTGTGATCTAAGACATTTAATACCTTACAACGATGCAATATCTTCTACTCTGTTTCTATAAAGATCATAGATTACGTTTGGACTAAACTTTATCAAACATGCTGAGTCACCACACACTCATGATACAGCCTAAGAATGATTGAATACTTTATAAACACTGGTTTTGTGCTTAGATGTTTGATGCAATAAAAGGTTAGTACATGTAGCATGCAATAACAATTACCTGTCTCGTAATGCAATATCTAATTTAATAACATAAACACTATCCGGGCTGTAATGTAGAATGTATGACTCTGTATTTATTTTTGTTTATTAGTAGTGCTCTAGTATTAAGATATATAACTAATTCTACCATATTGTATGCATGTTTGAAGTATGTTAATGAGGCGGCCACGACAAACCTGTACACTTACATATCAGATGCATCACTCGTGCAGAGAGAGGAAACAGTTAATGTAAGTTATCATGAAATAATAAATGTCGACGTTTTTGAATTATGTATTTCTAGTTTTAAACAAAGAAATGCTTATCATAAATGTTACCTTGGTTTTCGCACTTTCTCGATAGCGTCATGTGTAGTGTTCCGATAAGAATAATCTTAATTTAGATATCAAGTGATTTTTTTAATTAAAATATGAAGAAGTTGAAAATAGTATCTTACATTCCGTCATTGAATATTGTAAAAGCCCAATGAATTTCTAAATGGTTGAGAGTCTTTGATTAATTATATCGAGCACATTTTGCACACCTCATTTCTTATGAAGTATTCAGATGATAATAAACTTAAAACAAACAGTTGTATAAGTAGTACTATAATTTGTTTTTGATTTACTGTATAACTAATTGGACTATATGTTATGCATGTTTGAAGCATGTTAATGGAGTGGCCACGCCAAACCTGTACACTACCATATCAGATGCATCCCTCGTACAGAGACATGAAACAGTTAATGTAAGTTCATTTGGCATATTGAATGTCGACTGTTTTAAATTACCAGTTACATTTTGATTGTATTTTCTACTAGCCGTCTTTTATTTACCCACTTAATAACAGATGATGTAATTCTAGGTGAAAGCAAAGACATTCCAATCCTAAATGCTACTTCTGTTTTTGCACTTGTTCAATAGCGTTATGTTTAGTGTCCCGATAAGCAATATCTTGATTGAGATACCAAGTGATTTCATTTTTAGATATGGAGTAGTTGATAATATTATCTTACATTTCGTCATTGAATATTGTAAAAGCCCAATGAATTTATGAATGCATAACTCTATCTTTATATTTGCTGATAAGTATTACTGTAATGCCATGATATGTAACTAATTGGACCATACTTTTATGCATGTTTGAAGTATGTTAATGGGGCGGCCACGACAGACCCGAACACTACCATATCAGATGCATCCCTTGGTCAAAGAGAGGAAACGTTCAAGGTCAGTTAATATGACATAATGAATGTCGACTGTTTATAATTACAAGTTACATTATGATTTTATTTTCTACTAGCCGTCTCTTATTTACACACTGAACAACAGATAATGTAATTCTAGGTTAAAGCAAAGACAATCCAATCCTAAATGCTACTTCTGTTTTTTTCTCTTTTTCGACAGCTTCACATTTAGTGTCCCGATAAGCATAATCTTAATTAAGATATCAAGTGATTTTTACTTTTATATATGAAGTAGTTGAAAATATCATCTTTCATTTAGACATTGAAAATTGTAAAAACTCAAATGAACTTCCAAATGGTGGAGAGTCTTTGATTAATTTTAACGAGCACATTTTGCAAACCTCTTTTCGTATGAAGTATTCAGATGATAAGAAACTTAAAACAAACACATTTTGACTTTGATTTTATTTGTGTAATATACCGTGCTCTCTCTCTTCTTTTCTTTCAGAGAACGCCCTATAGAAGATTGTGTTGCTTTGCTGTGATTATTCTATTGATGGTAGGGGTTATTGCTCTTGCGATCATCGGTATAATACATTTGTCGGAACCGTCCAAGCATCAAGATCAACCAAGTATGAAGTGTATGTTCATTATTTAAAAATACATTTTACTGTGCTTTTACCTAAGATGTAGGTCCTCAGGTCTTTCTGTGCACTTTCTCATACCATGTTTATGATAGAACTGGCTGGTAAATACGGTAAAACCTCATTATACTGACGCCATTTGTCCAAGGAAATATTCTGGTGTTACAAAGGGTTTAGTCGTTGAACATAGGCAAATTTACAAAGGAAATAAGAACATTGGAAAATGTTGGCGATAAATGAGCTGGCAAATGAAATGAGGGGCATTATATCGAGGTTTTACTGTATATCAAGCCGATTTTCACGATATACAGTATGCAGGCTGAATTCTTAGTTTTATTATGATCTGATATCAAGGGCGGGGAAATAACTGGCATCAATCTCGTGAGACAAAAAGCAAAGGTAGTGACAACAAGTCATAATTATGAGCAAAATCAAACGCATCGATGTTTATACCGCACAAAGAAGTAATATATTTTCTAATAGAATGATGATTGTGACCATAACATTAAGCGATAACCTTTATCAAGATGCATCTCTTGAAACTTTGTGTGGTAAGTTTGTCCGTCAGCAGTCGACATTTATCTAAGAAATTATGGAATTCAGAGCAAGCTTTTGAATTAAACTGCTCTATGCAAAACGATGGTTTGGGCATTATGACTAAACATGACCAGTTTCGACTCTATTGTACCATTTAACATATAGTCCCTCTTGTACTTACTACTTTTTAATCTTACAAAGTGTCGATTTTATTGTTAAATTGTTGGACGATTAAAATGCTTTAATAGCATATTGAAGGAATTCGTTTTTGCTATTAAAGGACTTTGGGCGTCATAGATTATTTTTGGCCGCATAAAAAAGTGTGTTTTTTTAACTTGAACTTATTAACCAATTTCTGTTATAAACGTCATGTTGGGGCTATCTTTCTCGGTGCAGCTTCCTTCCAATGCGCATACGTAGATACCCTACCATAACAACAATTTTGCGTTGCTATGCAGAAATATACAAACTATGATGTTTTTGGACAGTAAGCATGCTGAAATGAAAGCCTCCGCATGTGACAAACAAAAAAACAGTCATGCGAATGAACACTGGTATGACTATGTTTAAGCATGTGGATTATAATTTTGTATGTTGCATGCAGAGGCTTTCAAAAATCGAAGAGTGTTTAGTTTATTTCCTTCAAAATGGCATAGCGTCAACCAAATAGCGCATAACAGACGAAATGCACGCAATTTCATAAGATATGTGTATCTCTTTGTACATTGTACATGCAAACGTTATGCCATATCTCCTTAAATTCGTTGTCGGGTGATTTTGATATTTCATATTTGCATACTTCATTTATTCCAGATTACGAATATTACAGCGAAATAACAATCCCCGATGGGGCCGGAAATGACCTTAAACTCTTTGGTCCTTTAAAGTTATATATCAATAACAGTAGCTGCTCTGTTAATGGTTTTAACCTGTTAATGAGATACAGATTTTTATTTTCCTATCAAACAGTATATACGTCCTAGTTTTGTGTAATCGTTTTTATTATTGTTGTGTTGTTTTGTGTCTTGTATGGTTTTTTTTATTCAAGATCTTAATCGACACTTTCGAGAATTATCAGTTTCAGAGTCATTACAATTCTGTGTCGGATCAATAACCGCAAGTGCTTCCGCTTCTGCGCAGTCCAACTGTTCACGTCTCGCAACAAGTGTTGCCGTTGACATATTTAAGGTTAGAGTATCATTTCCTGGCAACAAGACAATAGTCAATTCAAGTATGCGTCTTTCTGATTCCATCAATATCACTGTGGCCGGGTTATGGATTGTCAGTTGGTCAAAGGTTACAGAACAACTGACAGTTTCACCACGTCTGGGAGCTTTGACTTGTAAAATGGAAGGGACGTATTTATTTGAGTATCTGAACAGTTCAAACAGCCTTGTGTATTACCAGATTTTCTCACTTACGTATCTGGGTAAGTATATAGTATTTCTGCATATAAATATCGCATGTTAAACATAAATATTGTACTGCAAACGTTCTTCTTAAGAGCACTCAAATTTTAACGAAATTATAAATGGGCGCCTTCACAATAAATTCAGTACAATTTCAATTTACAGAAGCATCAATTAGCGGTTACATAATTTCGAGCAATATTTGCAGTGCGAGTAACATCAATATAGATAACTTGTAAATAATGGAATTTTACAGTAGAATGATATAAATATAGTCAAATTAACATCGTTCGTTATAAACTAAATTTCACAGTCTTCATTTACCGCAAATATATATATAATATTTATATGGGTCAAAAAAGTAATATAGGCGGTAAAATCCCATATAACACTGGATCCTAATGGAGGTATGTCCGTTGGATACGAATTACTTAAAGTAGTATATGGGGCAAAGAAGTAATTCCAACAGTGTGGACAAGTTTAGGTTGTCAAATTTTCGGAGCGATCCGCTCCTTTATCAAGACACAGTGAAACAGAACAGTTACATGTACATATATATCATATTACAAGAAGATAGAACTGATATACTATAATTGACAAAAAATTGACAACCTAAACTTGTTCACACTGTTGGAATTACTTCTTTGCCCCATATATATATATATATTTATACATAACTTAAATCTGTAATTCAAACTTCACAGTTGACTTTTCAAACTATTTAATATTATGCATTTGCACAAAGCCTGGAAAATGAAAAAGACTGATTCTATTGAATCGATCGTCTTCGTATTTATATGTTTTGCAGGATTAGATCGGGCTTCATTTTGTTACACCTTGACAAGAATCCTTATGAAATGTTTAAGACTTATTTAAAACCATCCTTCAAGAAAAACGGTGAAAATATAGATTAACGGCGATAGCAGCAATTTACAATAATATCAGCGGATATTACAAGCTTATAGGGTTTGCATCATTCCAGTGGATGAACCAGCGCGTAAAATGATATAATATGGATTTGATACGAACTATCACACCCAGCAGACGAAAACACAAAATGAATCCCGGAGTTAAAAAAATTATAAGGTTTAAAAGTCGAGTTATTTCAGGATAAAATTCCTAAAATGTTTGTGCATTTATTCAAATAATTTCCATAACATTTCCTAAATTTTAATCATACAAAAGGAAGCAGGCAATTTGGTTAATAAGCGCTTACCTGTTTTTCCGCACATTTAAGAAAATGGCGACACCAAACTTTACACACATACAATGTACCTGTACCTTTGTTTACAATTTCAATAACAAATCCTAATGGTTTTATCCTTTACAGGTAATTTGGATGATGTGCGCGTATCCGCTCAGCCGTATTTGGCGGGAAATGGCATCAGCAAATTAATTCACCTCTCGTGTTCAATGAAAACTGGATGTCACCATGGTGTTTTTGTTCCGGAAATGAAAAAGGGAGAAGATACTTTGTTTATTCATGACGTCTCGTGTACCTACACGTTCAATACTTTTGAAGAAGGAGTAGTCACCTGCACGACGGATATCGACGCAGACGTTTGGGTTTCAAAGGATGAAGTTATATGTTCCCTGAAGCTGGATGACGGGGTGCATCAACTAGTACCGGTTGGAAGAATAGACACCAGTAACGTAAACCTGGCAAGTAAGTCAAAAGAACGCACTATTTTCAAGTAATCAAATAAAACTTGGAGGAAGTTATATTCAAATTATTTTACTACAACGTTCGATTTACTCCATTTTCATTTAGTATTCCATATCTCTGAATCAGAGGTTCGTAAGTGTGTATACATGGAAAACAGTTTTCTTACTCCCGTCGTTAGGTAAAACACTGTTAGCTCATCATGTTTCTGCAAATGTTTTGATTCAGAGATGACTTTTATGGTTTTGTACATATGATAGATTCAAGCCTATTAGTCCTTAATCAGCAGTTCATCGAATAACGGACCGATGTGCACCACCGCAGGAGAGTAAGAATTAATATTTATATTTGTTACTAATTTGAAAACTCAACGTTTCCGTCAAAATATCGAATAGCTTTCGAAATACGAACTCATTCACAACAAAAAGAGACAAAGAATAGAAATGTTGATTTCAAGATGTGTTTTTTACGAGGATTGTGTACTTTATTCAACCTAACTAAAGGTTATACATAGTTATCAATATATTGAAAAAGGTTTCGAATGTTCAAACTTTAACTTTTTCGGAATTTTTAAAAATTAAACTTGTCTTGCGAAAATTAGGAGAGACGTAAAACAATTTGAATGTTTATGGTGAAATCTCTATTTTGTTAAAGTGTAAGTGGCTTGTTTTGGCCCATCATTTGTATTCAAAAGCCACAAACTCAGTCCAAATTATATATCAACGAATTCACGCTATTGTCATATTAGATCATTGCACTTTGGTATCCTTCACGATCGGCGAGCCTGGGTACATCAACTGCAAGAAGAGGATACATGGGGATGTGAATATCTTTCTGGAGAGGAAGGGCTACTACTTTGGCGACTGGATAACGTTGCTTACCATTTCTGGCGAAGGAAGCGGGAAAGCCCTCAATGATCGCCTTACGTTTACTGCAATGAAAAATGCAGATATGATGGAGATCAATATTACTATGTCGGAGGTCCATTGCGGTGATAAAGGACATCTGGCCTTAAACTATTCAGACGGCTCGCGCACCAACATCGAAGTCAATGCCATATCAGGTAAATTATCGAACACGTTAGATCAATATATCAATAATCATTTAAGTATGCCAGGATAGCATTAAGAATGTGGATCTTAATATGAAAGAAAAGCAAGGTAATCAGAAAAAAACAACGTTTTCGAGAGAGGTTGCCATGTAAACTTGCATAACTCCAGTCTTATTTGTAGGAGGTGATAGTTTTAATTTTTTTACGCCATCCGACCGCTGATTAAAAAAGTTCATCTCACCGATTTTAATACAATCACGTCTCGTGATTCTTAGTTGCAATCAGTAAAAAGTTAACTGTTTCTTTGTTTGGATTTCTGCATCATCATCAAAAAAGATATTTCCTTTCTTCGTGTGATTGTTGACTTTGCAGTAGCAGCTCAATCTTTTGCATCAAATGTAGGACAGTATTTATACCATGTTTATATGTGAGAGAGTATGTACATTTCACATTTTATATTGAGGATCATGTGAAATATAATATAATGTTCTCTATGTCAGCGGTGCCACCACGTTGTCACGGATCTGAGACTAGATCACTTCACGCTGACAACAACTTTATATTATTCTGCGCATGGTGTCCTGGTCATGACGTCGAAGAAGTTCTTGTGAACCATACCAAGACGGAAAACGGCGTTGGAACAATGCTTCCATCGTTTCCAATCACATTTTTTGTGGATTCTAAGACGGAACATAAAGAACAGAATTTAACAATAAAATTTACCCAGCAGTATGGTGTGATGAGAGTGGATATCACCCGATTAAAAGGAGTTGGCTGTAACTATGGAGGCTATTACTCCATAACTCTCCGCTCACCACAAGGGTCGTCAAACAGAAACATACATGTTAACATCACAAGTAAGTATTACAGTGTATTATTCCACACCTATTTAATCTCACTGTAACAATACAGTCCATATTATGAAAAGTTGGATCACTGAAAGTAGTGTTATAGGGAAGATTATATCATATACCTGGGTCCGAACAACATGTTATCAATTGCAATCTACAGGCAAAACTGGAGAGGTATTACTCAAACGAGCTCCAGATATTTGATGATATGTATCACTTTGCTAATGTCTGTTCACGTCGGCGTTTTTCCGTCATTGATTTTCAAACACGGTGTTCAGACAGCAGATTACATAATGTTTTATACAGGTAATAATAGACATTTCATTCTTTAGCAAACATCGCATTTAACATTAGTTTTTGTATGGTGACCCACATATACACGTGCGTTATATGTGACTATGTGTATGAATCCATCGACAATATAGTCATACCATCTTCAACGTGAAATGAAGACATTATCTTTCTTTATTCCTAATAGACAACCTATTGCGACGTCATAGTAATACTTAAAAAATGGAGAGAAAATAGTTTTTTTAATGGAAAAAGATATACTCTCTGGGTTTGATAATTGTCGTTGGTTCTTTTATAGGAATTCATACTATCGTTTGCTATATTGTTTTGTGTTCCCCCGAGTAACGTTGCATGGTCGTCTCTATTGTGTTGGTGCTATGGTTAAATATCAATTTAAATGTATCTTAAACTGTGATCAAAGTGTTATATGCGATACATTTCAAAAATAAAACATGATTATAGATATTTGTACATGAAATCTTTTAAACATGTCTCTGATAACTGTATCAAGGTGTCTTCAATTGCTATAGGTTTCATTACTTCCAGCCAAATGGTCAACTTTTTTGGAAAGTATAATTCGCGCGTGAAGCGATGATACCTGGCGTGACGTCATTATCTTTCTCCTGATGATTGATATAGCCATTCATAAAAATTGATTGATTAATTATAATTAGAATATGTGAATCAAATAAGCGTTAATTAAAATTAAGATGAAAAGATTTAACGTTTTGGCGGATACGAACAATTTATTCCACTTCCATATTTTGTGAGATACATAGGCCTTCATTGATTTGTATACTAATTTGTTTTCAGTCCCCCAAAGTCTGTATACGTTTTCCATTACCGACACCCCTGTGATAGCCGGAAGAGATCTTTATGTTGAATTCAAGGGATTCATGGGTTGTTCTGTGTCTAATGTCATTGCAAAGCAGGACGGTGTTTCACTTCTGGCGAGCGCAGTGACGGTAAGGCTATTTCCCCTAAGAAATCCGTTCGTTTGGCATATTTTAAAAGGTTCACGTTGTCATCGAAGTAGCAAACTTAACTAGTCCCATTGTCGCGTATACGGTACAAAATGTCTGTCTATAATTACATATTATAGTTAATTCTGTGCCACGGCTTACGATACACGGTTACACAACCATAACATATTTGTATTTTCAATATCCTTTTAAATCCATATCGTAAACAGGTATAGAAACATGCAGTTCTTAACGAATTTTATTAAAAGAATGTTTCGATATGCATTTTGTTACGCATTGTAATTTACAGAACACATATTCTTATCATTGTCCTCACAGCATGGATTACTAGTTTTTAGGTTGCTGACGAGGACATCAGGGATGCACTAGCGTTCAAGATCGTTTGGTCATATAAACCGGTGGAGCTTGCCTTACATACCACATTTATCAATGCATCAATGTCATTTCCTCCACTGGGAGAGCAAAATCGTAGAAGTTACACTACATCCAAGAGGTTTGATGTACTAGAAGGTGAGACTGGTTTTACTACTTCGACACTCTTGTGAATCACACCAATAATGAGTTTTGGTACTATACTTGGGACAATATTTTAATTTCGTATAAACACATTGTATATATTACTAAAATTGTCATTCTATTGAAGATTGTAGAAAAAAAATCCTTAAATATATTCTCTATAATACAGTTACAGTTGTACCATTTTTTATTTTATTATATTTATTCTTTAGGTATAAATATCTTATGTTGAAATCGGATTAGATTTCAGAAAGTTTTATCTACTATGTACTTCTACTGTACAGATGATGGAAACAAATGCGGCATTTTTCAAGCGATCTGATACCAACAGTATTCTATAATGTTATTTTGTTTATTTCAGATTCCTTTTGTGACAACTTTGCATCGTGTAACGTCGCACACCCGTCCGTCTTCGGCCTGTACATTGCGTGTAACGCTGCTAGTCTTATTCAAGCAGTGAACAAATGTCCAGCTGGCCTGAGTCTAATCTACCCGGATCCAAACAACTGCTTAGGACAATGTGGATAACGTACATGTGTTTATCCGAGTGACCACTTTTCGCAGTATCATTATTTTAGGTTTTTTTTAACGTTATTTACCCGTTTAACCATACCCTTTATTTTTGTGTAACGCTAGCGGTACCATATATATTGAGCACAATTGTCAACCTGGATTGTTTCCAGATCCAGTCATCTGCCTAGGACACATGAGATATAGTGATTTGAATTGAATGTTTTTAAATTTTGTTGTTGTTGTTAAATCAAAAATCAAAAGCACTTATTTCACTTAATACTTAGCTGAATGTGCTACTTGTGTGTTTCTGATATTGAAGCTGAACTTTCAGTTTTGTTTAGTGTTCAAGTCGAATATAGCGTGTAATATGTCTTAACCTATACATCTAGAACTCTTTTAAATAAGTTACTCCTCTAGATCCAAATATATCGATTCTATGAGTAGGCTACGGAAAGAACAAACACGTACAAATGTTATCCTACATTTTGGGCACAGTTCAGATAGAATACGCGATACATATTGTTTACAAAATCCTGTTACAGATGCATTTTCTTCTGAACATTTTATGTAATTATTCATTTGTGGTTAAATTGTTCAAGGTTGTAAAATGTTCAATGTATATAGGTTAGTCAATACCACTTATCAGTATTGATTAACTATTTATTGATGTACATTAATAAACTCGTCATTGTTCCGATACACGAAATCGGTTTATCCTAATTTCACTCGCATTTAGACCGATCATTTTTTCTTTAATGACGAAAAAGTTGGCAAAGCATGTTATGATGTATTGAGTTGTCAAGTTATATGAATACTGAAAGGTCGATTCACAAATGAAATATACACGGGATCCCTGACCTAATGCACGTAAAACAAAGGCAAAACACATAAGAAATGTAGCTTTAATAACATAATGTAACTTTCCCTTAATTTTAGTTTGGATATAATTGTTGTGCAAGTTGGCCTGGGTACAAAAGTTGATTGGGTGGCCCAGTTGGTTAGGACGAACATATAATGATCTGAGATCGAGGGTTCGAAATCCTAGTCAAATCTATTTGGATTTTATACTCGAAACACTGTTCGTTTGTTGTTGTTTTTTGGTTTATTTTTTTGCTTATTTAATCTTCATCATTTATCATGAGAGTTCTAAATGGTATGTTTTTTCTTCTCAGAAATGATTTACTAAGCTACATATATATATAGTCATACAGGAAAACAAACATTAAATGAAAAGATAGTTTTTGGCAGTGTTATTAGGATCTCTTAATCATATACATTATTTTTGTAAAGGGTAGAGTGGTGAAACGTTGCAGTTTTATTTCATTTTTTCTGATAAAATTAAATATCATTCACAGGTCGCAAGCTTCATTTTTCCATGATCATCATAATGCATGCATAGAATGAACGGATTTCAACTTAAATTCATGTTCCGGCAATCATTCTGTGTCAAGATAACTATGTGTGTATTGGATTAATATGAATAAGGTGTGTGTGCGCGTTCAAAACTTCTCTTTAACATGAATTTAATATTAGAGTTGGAGATAGAAAAGGAATTCAGTTTGGGTCGGGGAGAGAGCGGGAAGACCGGACAGAAGACGGTTAACATGGTGAACATGGTTAAACTCCTAATTTCCTAGGATGCGGGAACACAAGTGAAAAGTAAAGCCAGTACGTTTACCACGTCCAAAGAACTGTGTGTTATGTGTGATACCCGTGATTGACTGTCTGTGTTTTACGCGTTGGATCCCGTGGGTCGTTGTGACATTTGTGTGCGAGTTTGTAGTTTGCGCCACACACACGCGTCTTGTATTGTTATGGCTATGATGTACTAATTATGTTGTTGATTATATAAAATTTGTATTAGTCAACGTGAACGCCTTTTGTTATTTCTCCACAAATTTAGCGAAATCACTGCTACCAAAGAAAAGATCCCGAAAGACCATATTTTCAGGGGATAAAACTCTAAATTTGAGAAAATTATATTGGCTGTTAGTACTGTGTATTGACATGTGCATTTGAAACAGTGCATTCGATAAATGTAAACAATAAGTTGTTACAAACAGAAACTGATATTTTGCGTAGATGTGCTCGTGTAGGATCACAATCATCACATCATGAAGGCAGTGTATAAGGAATGTTGTAGGGTGTAACCAATCCATATTGTGTATCTTGGGTCGGGTCTCTATTCCTAGTCACTGTTATTCCATATATGTGTATAGAGGAGTAGGTAAGGTGCTATACTAGAATATAGACTGTTATTCTGTACGACAAGTTAGTTTGGTTGTTACATTCAACGTCATGCTGTATCGCAGGATACATTTTAGAAAAAAATACTAATTATAGGCTGTTTTTCTGTACTACAGAATTTTGTCTGCTGGATAACCGAACTACTCGGTAGTGAAGCGGATGTAAAATCTATCAATCAATCAATCAATCAGTACTACAGAATAGGTGGGGCACCTTAATAGATGTTCTAGATTCTCACAAGCTTAATTTGTGAAATTGTGAAACTGTTTTCTAAAATTGAGTATTTAGGATAGATCAGTTGTCACATAGAGTTACTGTGCTGTAATACAGAATAGTGAGTTACTAGTTCTGGTATTAAGTCTGTAATACTGTACCAGTGGTTGACCTATTATTGAAAATAGGCGGTATGTAGTTTACTAGTAGTTTTACTATTGAGTAATTAGAGAGCTTCATTTCAGCATATTATATTATAAGCAGGCAGGTTGGTTATAATATACCAGGAAGTGTGCATGATATACAGGCACACATATATAGTGGTATTCAGACAGATGAGAACTGATATTACTAAACGGCTTAGGATTGAACTATTTTGAGATACATTGTCATTGGGTTGGTACCCACATATATTTTTATTGTTCATTCTTATAGGGCATACGTAACTGGAAATAAAATCATGGATTATGACAAACGGTTAACTTATGGATAAAGAGTGGGGCTAAAAAACGAGTAGTTACACAACATTGTAGCGACAAAGAAACACGAATATCTAGCAAGGGAAGACAGGGCTCGAGATAGATCAGAGGCAAGAGATGAGGCTGCACGCAGAGAAATAGAGATAGCACGACAGTTTGAGATGGAGAAATTAAAGCTTCAGGCAATTGTGGAGATGGCAAAACCAAAACGTCGGGCATAGCAAGAACGGATTGAGCTGACCAGAACAAACACTGAAGACTCCAGATCTAAGTCAATGAGGCCTAAACTATCAATGTTTGATGAGTTATTATGAGTCAATCAGATGCATCACAAATTCTCCTGTTTCAATATCAGCAATAGCCGGTTTTTGGATTGCCTTATTACCAAGTGTGGTTTCTATTGCTCCTATACAATGGCCAAAACCACCGTCACTGCTTGCTTCGATCGATATTATAATACCTTCTTAATCAAGTTTTCAGGACGCTAGAAAATCTTTGATCTTTTCCCCATTTTCAGTGTGGTTTGCATATATATGGTCCATGTCCTCTGTCGGCAACAACTTCTACCGGAAGTAAACAATATTTGTTGCTATGCGTAACCATGCAATATGGGGCCAGACATGTGGTACTGATAATGGTTTCAGGGTAGAATTAATGCACTCAAACAAAACACCTTTAACAATTGGAGTGCTATAAAGGAACCTATCTGTCATTTTTCATGTACAACAACGAGCTTCTATAATACATAGCACACTTAGGCTGTTTTGCACATGACACCATACGCTGTAAAACAATCAATAATAAGTAGATAAAAAGAGCGAGTGGCAACTACATGTATGATAGAAATGTCCCAAACCCCTTCACCCTTTTCCTGCTCAACCAATATAAAAATATTTATAAGACATAGCTTGTAACAAGTAGACTTGTTTGTGTATTCCAGTTTTTTACTTCAATTGTTGTCAAGTGCGGCATATCACCTGTGTCCTTTAACTATTTTACCATGACCAATAACCCCACAAATTTGATCGTGTACATAAATTGATGCTACCATACTATGATGTAATTATAAACTGAACGTTTTCTGTGGTTCATGAGATATTACTACAGACGGATGCTTTAACCGTGAACTTTGACCAATTCAACTTAACTGATGACTACCAAATTGTTATCGGGTGTAAAACTTGACAGTTCCATTCAATTGTGTAAATAGAGCGTATAAGCTAAATTAGTTAATGGATGATTTAGATATATTTTTCACTTGTTTACTTCAAGTGTGATACTTGACCGTGACTTTGGACCCTTCGACTCTTGACTGATAAACACTAAAATCTATGCAGGCGTAGCAATTGTTATCACCACACTATGATGTAAATGTGTATTAAAAGTATTCAGGAGTTAATGAGATAATGTTGTAAATAAGCTCTTAATTTCGGATGGACAGTCGCACAGATGCACGGACGCATACAACAAAGCACGTGTACTGACAAAGCTATTACTTTTACCCCCACCCACTACATGGAGGATATAACAAAGAGCACATACACACGCATTTCATTACTCATTACATTTCACATCATAAGACTTAACTGCATCTAGCAAATGGGAAGATGACTTGCTCTTGTAAATTCGCCCTACTGCACCCTACACAAGATATCGCCAAAACACAAGCAAAGTAAACGCAAATATACACTTTACGACCACACATCAAATTAGAATCAATCCACTCACGTAAATATCAAAGACTTACAACACAAAACAACTTTAAATTAAAGGAAGACGAAAAGGACATCACATCAAACACCAATAAATCAATAGGCTTTTTAGGAAAGCATTTTGAAAATGAATTTATCTGCTATCAAAGGACATGCAAAACATGTAATTGCTAAACAGAACATAGAACGAATAGCTTTAGCCTAGTCTGATGATAAAACTAAACAAAGAGCATAATTTAAACAGAAAACAAAAAGTACAATGTACAAAAAAGGTTGTTACTTTAACAACAACAAAATCAACACAAGCTCAGTCACAGTCTTCTAAACACGTAGAACAATTACACGACTCGTATCCTTCGACTACATAATACACAAACAAATTGTGACTAGAACACTGACAGGTCAGTAAGGGTCCCGTCTTGTGGCAATATAACCCCCACAATCATCAAGAAGCAATCTACCAATATAGCTGAGCTTGACATTTGACATTTGGAAGGAAGCAAAATATACATTCTACATGTACTATGATGTGAGTCGTGTTTCCTTCCACCTCCATATTTGCTGGGCTAACCGAAATTTAAATGCTGGTGCAACACTCATTTGTTAGCTTTGATTTGTTTTATTTCACCTTGAATACCTCCCCCATCATGAGCAAGGATCAAAGTCAGATATCCACTTTGTCTTTGACCTTTGGACCCAAATGACCTTGACCTTTAACCCAGTGACCTTGAAATTTGGTCAATTTGGTCAGTTGACTTATTCTTTAATTCCGACCAACTTTGCTTCATAATATCATAACAAAATGTTCATCAGTGGAAAATACAAAACTTGACCTTGATCTTGATCTTGAACCTTTGGACCCCTTAACTTGGACCTTTGGTCATTTGACAATTTGCTTCATAATAACATAAAAAAATCATCAGTAAAAAGATACAATATTTTACCTTGACATTGACCCAGTGACCTTGACCTTAAGTCAGTTGAGTTCTTGTTAAATTCCGACAAACTTTGCTTCATAATGTTGTGGCAGAGACGATATTTGTGATATCTATATTTATAATATTACGGTATATATATATGTTCTGATACAGTAATAGCGATCTTCATATTGTGGTATAGTTATTTTCTTATTTTGGCCTCTTGGATTTGTTTGGTTATATATATATATTTATCATTGGTCAGTTTTGTAAGTTATCCCGTTCTCACCTCTTGGGTTAGCCAATGGTCAAGGGTTTCTTTGTATTCTTTGTGTGACCGGTGGTTTTGGCGCGATATTTATATGAGACTACATGACGTCTTGACGAAGCAGACAAGACAGGACACTGGTAAGAAAGTATTGTACTGCTTCCATTTATATTGTCAAATTGATAGATACGATCATACTAGTTAATTATTGATTCGTTATTAGCTGTACGGTATATATATACTGCGTTATTTTACTTGTATTTTATATATACGTGTTTCTTTGTCATACAGAAATTACGAGTACACGTAATAACCACGGATAATTCCGTACGATTTCAAATGGCCCTGTTCCACAAATAGGTACAGTTTTCTATTTTAAACTTATAGTAATGTATTGATGAATGTATTTTATTGTACTCTTTGTCTATTTATTAAGTAACCTCCGTATCAATAAATACTGAGCTAAGATAAGATTTACATCATATGTTCAATATTACATGTGTATAAATATCAGTAAATATAATGTAAATCTAGATGTAATATAACTTTTATAATTTATAGAACTATAATCTTACATGTAACATCTCAAGATAACTTAACTACGCTTCACAGTGTGCGTTGTGAATGAGTTGGAGACCCCATACATATATCTGAAATGTAACTATTATATAATTGCAGGGTTTAATCATTTATGTCTAAGGAATGGGAACTACGCACAATAAATCGTGAAGAACTCTCACAGTGTTTGTTGATGTTTAATCTACAAAATCCACCACTGCTACAATGTCATAACAAAATGTTCATCAATGAAAAGATACAAACTTTGACCTCGACCTTTGATCAAGTGACTTTGACCTTTGGTAAAATGACTAATTATTTAGTTCTAATCAACTTTGCTTTATCATGTCATAACAAAATGTTCATCAGTGAAAAGATGCAAACTTTGACCTTTACCTTTGACCTTAACTTTTTACTTCAGTGTGTATTTTTATGAACTGAACATCTTGACCAAGTGTCATGTATATTGGTAAATTAATACCAAAATTATCAGCCAGGAACAAAATTTGTAGACGGACAGACGGACAGACCGAATAAGAAAAAAATATCCCCATGACCTCAGACCTTAAAACACGAGGAAACATTCTTAGATTTAGGCAAAGCTACAGTACTCACTTAAGGCACGTTCAAACACTCATTCGTTTCATACTCATAACACAATAGATTCCCCGTTCACCCCTCAATATCATTCAAAGCAAAACATTTTCAAAAGGTTAAAACAAGCACCACATGCAACATTGAAAACAAATACACAAATAACAAAACAATTTATTCATATCGTTTTATCATCTTTTATTATATAGCAAATTACAATTAACAAAAATAGAATAAATCACTGTTAATACTGAATGTGATCACTCTATGATAAACTCCCTTGCAACTGTCCATAATCATAGTCACTGATGAGTCACAGAAAACCTATTAAACTAACCCATGGTGTATTACACTTCATCTGACGAAAGCTCATATAAATATTGCTTTAACAGAAATCTTGTAGTTCGGTTTTTCTATCAGATGCATTTTTGGGCAATGGCGTAATTAAACAAAAAAAAATTAATGCAATATCGAGTTAAATGGACAATTATGAATACTTTTTGCATGGTGCTGTAAGATTAATTACTTATTGCCTAAGAAGTATTTTTATTTTTAAAATGACATTAAGCCAACCGCACGCTTCTGGAAAATACTGGACAGTGCTTCATTGATTGATTTGTGGTATACATAACCCGTCGTCTTACATATTATTTAATATAAATGAGAAAAATATTCTACATTGTTTTGATAAAAACACTGACGGTGAATCATAATATACATGGAAGCTCAAAACGTGTCATAAAACACACATTTTTCCGTGCCAAACCTCAGTAAGGAAGCAGGACGCTTTGGCGACAAAATAGTTCGGCTTTAACATTCTACATTCTCTCATCTTACTAGGCCACCTCAGTATTGTAGGTCTTGGTAAACTTATCCACTTCAAGAGCCGTTTTATTCTAAAAGAAATTAGGAATACACCAGTTCAGTTACCAGAGATGAATGACATCCTTTGTCGATATGCACCACATACTTGGAATCTAATTCGTCCTTCAGTTGATTGGGGAAAATATTAAACATGATACCCGTAAAGTATCTATAAAGCTGTAATATTTGGTAAAATTTAACATCAATATTTTTACAAAAACCTACCAAACTTCCAAAAACGCAAAGCATTAATTTTTTGCCATCGTTTTGCAATATTTTATTCCTCAAGGTCCACTAAATATATGCTGGGGATCTGTTGATTGTGGGATCTATTATCAATGGATTGCGCAACAAAAGATGTGACGTTTTCCGAGCCGATACCCTCTGAAAAGAGCAGTCAATGTTCATTTTGTCGATTCGACATCAAAAATATGTTATGGTTTCATATTTCCAATACAAATAATAATAAAACATAAGTTAGTAACCAAGCATGATACATTTGTCATTGGTACGAGGTTATAAGAATGAAATATTTCTTAAAATATTCAGAATACAGTGTCCGGGAATATTTCAAATATCAATCCGTCAATAAATTTATTCCTTTCTATGTTTGTCTGTAAACGTTTCATTAAAAATGTATACTTATAACAAAAATATTCATATTTATCAATTTCAATTTTATACATCTATACCGTCCTTTTATATTTAATGTATCATGCGTGGCATTGTTCATTTATATGTCATTTGGTAAAACACAATGATACATTCTATGATATAAATAGTCTTCGGTGCAAACCCGTCCAAAGCCAAAGTTTAAACTCTGACCAATTTTCCGCGAAATGTTTCTCTTTGTCTTTTACGAAATAGCACTATATACATGTATGAAAATATCCGTTAATTACGGATATATTAAAAAGGGGGAAGCAAAGGAAACTCTGTATACTGTAGTATATTTTATCATATCGGATATAATGTTAATAATGAAATAAGATATTGATCACTTTTCATATATCTAATTATAACCTCGATCTACAGATATTTAAACAACAAATCAAGCATATTCTTCCCAGAATTTCAGTTGCATTATGATGATCAGGGAGAAATGAAGCGAACGAGCCATGAGTGATATCAAATATTGATTCTTAATGTATCAGAAAAAAATGGAATAAAACTAAAAAAAAATGTTACTCTGCACTTTACAAAAATAAAACACGAGAACAATGTGTATACATGTACCATAAACATTGTATTCAATTAAGAGATTCCAACGCCACTGCCAAAAACTCAATTTTCATTTTAAAACTTGTTTTCTTGTATGACTTTATGTAGCTTGCTTAATCATTTATGAAATGAAAGCCATACATTTTGGAACTCTCATGATAAATGATAAAGGTGAAATAAGCATAAACATTCAACAACAGTTTTCCCAGTATAAAAAATACCAAAAGGGTCAGACCAGGATATCGAACCCTTGACCTCAGGTCATTATATTTCAGTCCTAACCAACGTTACTTCCTAGTCAACCAACATACTGTACCCTGTTTAACTTGCACTACCAATATCTAAACCAATGCTAAGGGAAAGTGATATCATGCAATAAACGCAACACTTCTCATGTGTTTTGCCTTTGTTTTGAGTGCATTAGGTAAGGAATCCCTCGTGTATTTCATTTTAAGTATTTATATTAATTTGACAACTCAAAATATTATTATATGCTTGTCAACACGATTGTCATTAAGGGAAGATGGATGGGTCGAAATATGATTGGTCAATTTCGTGTAGTAAAACAATGACGAGTTTACAATAAATGTACATTCATAAAAAAAATATAAATCACTAATCGAAAGTAGTATTTACTTACATATATACATTGAACATTTTTACAACTATGGAAACTTTAACCACAAATAAATAAATACATAAAGTTTTCAGAAGAAAATATATCTGTAACTGGATTTCATTAACAAGATATATAAGGCATTCTATCTCAACTGTGCCCAAAAAGTAATAATATATGTGTACGTGTTTGTTCTTTCCGAAGCCTACTCATAGAATCGATGTATTTTGGGATCTAGAGGAGTACATTATTTTAAGGGTTCTAGATGTATTAGTTAAGATATATTACACGCTATATTCGACTTGAACACTAAACAAAACTGAAATTTCAGCTTCAATATCAGAAACACACAAGTAGCACATTCAGCTAAGCATTAAGTGAAAGAAGTGCTCTTGATTTTTGATTTAACAACAACAACAAAATTTAAAAACAAACATTCAATTCAAATCACTATATTTCATGTGTCCTAGGCAGTTGGCTGGATCTGGAAATAATCCAGGTTGACAATTGTGCTCAATATATATGGTACCGCTAGCGTTCCACAAAAATATAGGGTATGGTTAAACGGGTGAATAACGTTAAAAAAACAACCTAAAATAATGATACTGCGAAAAGTGGTCACTCGAATAAACACATGTACGTTATCCACATTGTCCTAAGCAGTTGTTTGGATCCGGGTAGATAAGACTCAGGCCAGCTGGACATTTGTTCACTGCTTGAATAAGACTAGCAGAGTTACACGCAATGTACAGGCCGAAGACGGACGGGTGTGCGACGTTACACGATGCAAAGTTATCACAATAGGAATCTGAAATAAACAAAACAACACTATAGAATACTGTTGGTATTAGATCGCTTGAAAGATGCCGCATTTGTTTCCATCATCTGTACAGTAGAAGTACACAGAAGATAAAACTTTCTGAAATCTAATCCGATTTCAACATAAGATATTTATATCTAAAGAATAAATATAATAAAATAAAAAATGGTACAACTGTAACTGTATTATAGAGAATACATTTAAGGATTTTTTTCTTCAATAGAATGACAATTTTAGTAATATACGAAATTGAAATATTGTCCCAAGTATAGTACCAAAATCATTATTGGTGTGATTCACAAGAGTGTCGAAGTAGTATAACCGGTCTCACCTTCTAGTACATCAAACCTCTTAGATTCAGTGTAACTACGAGTTGTATCTCCCAGTGGAAGAAATGACATGGATGCATTGATAACTGTGGTATGTAAGGCAAGCTCCACCGGTTTATATGACCAAACGATCTTGAACGCTAGTGCATCCCTGATGTCCTCGTCAGCAACCTAAAAACTAGTAATCTATGCTGTGAGGACAATGTTAAGAATATGTCTTCTGTAAATTACAATGCGTAACAAAATGCATATCGAAACATTCTTTTAATAAAATTCGTTAAGAACTGCATGTTTCTATACCTGTTTACAATAGTGATTTAAAAGGATATTGAAAATTCAAATTTGTTATGGTTGTGTAACCGTGTATCGTAAGCCGTGACACAGAATAAACTATAATATGTAATTATCGACAGACATTTTGTACCGTATACGCGACAATGGGACTATTTAAGTTTGCTACTTCGTTGACAACGTGAACCTTTTAAAATATGCCAAACGAACGGATTTCGTAGGGGAAATAGCCTTACCGTCACTGCGCTCGCCAGAAGTGAAACACCGTCCTGCTTTGCAATGACATTAGACACAGAACAACCCATGAATCCCTTGAATTCAACATCTAGATCTCTTCCGGCTATCACAGGAGTGTCGGTCATGGAATACGTATACAGACTTTGGGGGACTGAAAAAAAAATATACAAATCAATGAAGGCCTATGTATCTCACAAAATATGGAAATGGAATAAATTGTTCGTATCCGCCAAAACGTAAAATCTTTTCATCTTAATTTTAATTAACGCTTATTGTATTCACATATTCTAATAAATATCAATCAATCAATTTTTATGAATGGCTATATCAATCATCAGGAGAAAGATAATGACGTCACGCCAGGTAACATCGCTTCACGCGCGAATTATACTTTCCAAAAAACTTGACCATTTGGCTGGAAGTAATGAAACCTATAGCAATTGAGAAAGACACCTTGATAAAGTTATCAGAGACATGTTTAAAAGATTTCATGTACAAATATCTATAATCATGTCTTGTTTTTGAAATGTATCGCATATAACACTTTGATCACAGTTTAAGATGCATTTAAATTGATATTAAACCATAGCACCAACACAATAGAGACGACCATGCAACGTTACTCGGGGGAACACAAAACAATATAGCAAACGACAGTATGAATTCCTATAAAAAAACACGACATTGCCATGTTAAGGGTAAGTGTGTCCTTATCAGCATGTGATACCTGAGACTATTATCAAACCCAGAGAGTATATCATTTTCCATTAAAAACGAACTTTATTTCTCCATTTTTTAAGTATTACTATGACGTCGCAATAGGTTGTCTATTAGGAATAAAGAAAGATAATGTCTTCATCTCACTTTGAAGATGGCATGACTATATTGTTGATGAATTCATACACATGGTCACATGTAACGCACGTGTATATGTGTGGGTCACCATACAAAAACTAATGTTAAATGCGATGTTTGCTAAAGAGTGACATGTCTATTATTACCTGTATAAAACATTATGTAATCTGCTGTCTGAACACCATGTTTGAAAATCAATGACGGAAAAAACGCCGACGTGAACAGACATTAGCAAAGTGACACATATCATCAAATATATGGAGCCCGTTTGAGTTATACTTCTCCAGTTTTGCCTGTAGATTGCAATTGATAACATGTTGTTCGGACCCAGGTATATGATATAATCTTCCCTATAGAACTCCTTTCAGTGATCCAACTTTTCATAATATGGACTGTATTGTTACAGTGAGATTAAATAGGTGTGGAATAATACACTGTAATACTTACTTGTGATGTTAACATGTATGTTTCTGTTTGACGACCCTCGTGGTGAGCGGAGAGTTATGGAGTAATCGCCTCCATAGTTACAGCCAACTCCTTTTAATCGGGTGATATCCACTCTCATCACACCATACTGCTGGGTAAATTTTATTGTCAAATTCTGTTCTTTATGTTCCGTCTTAGAATCCACATAAAATGTGATTGGAAACGATGGTAGCATTGTTCCAACGCCGTTTTCCGTCTTGGTATGGTTCACGAGAACTTCTTCGACGTCATGACCAGGACACCATGCGCAGAATATTATAAAGTTGTTGTCAGCGTGAAGTGATCTATTCTCAGATCCGGAACAACTTGATGGCACCTCTGACACAGAGAACATTATATCATATTTCACGTGATCCTCAATATAAAATGTGAAATGAACATACTCTCTCACATATAAACATGGTATAAACACTGTCCTATAATTGATGCAAAAGATTGAGCTGCTATTGCAAAGTTAACAATTACAAGAAATACATAGAAAGGAAATATCTCTTTTGATGATGATGCAGAAATCCAAACAAAGAAACTAAGAATCACTAGACGTGTTTGTATTAAAACCGGTTAGATGAACAAAAAATTCAGCGGTCCGATGGCGTAAAATATGAAGCTTTCACCTTCTACAAATAAGACTGGAGTTCAATTCTCCAATGTAACTTTTGAAGATGCAAGTTTACATGGCAACCTCTCTCGACCACATTGGTTCCTTCTGATTACCTTGCTTTTCGCTCATATTTAGATCGACATCCTTAATGCTATCCTGGCATATTAAAATGATTATTGATATATTGATCTACCGTGTTCGATACTTTACCTGATATGGCATTGACTTCGATGTTGGTGCGCGAGCCGTCTGAATAGTTTAAGGCCAGATGTCCTTTATCACCGCAATGGACCTCCGATATAGTAATATTGATCTCCATAATATCTCCATTTTTCATTGCAGTAAACATTAGGCGATCATTGAGGGCTTTCCCGCTTCCTTCGCCAGAAATGGTCAACAACGTTGTCCAGTCACCAAAGTAGTAACCCTTCCTCTCCAGAGCGATATTCACATCTCCATGTATTCTCTTCTTGCAGTTGATGTACCCAGGCTTGCCGATCGTGAAGGATACCGCAGAACAATAATCTGACATGACAATCGTACACAATTTGTTATTATATATTACTTGGTCTTGATTCATAGAAACCTGTTGCTCTTGAAAACAAATATTAAGCCGATTATAACACCAATATTTGTAAAACCCTGACTAACTGAAATGCAAAATACTATAGAATTCCACTGTAATTTTTCATACAGTTACTTCCCTTTAATTACGTTTTAGACACAGCAGTAGAAGAACTTGGCTAGTCAACTGCAGCATATCAGAAAGCTCAATTGGTCAAGTTGACCGTAACACAATTAGAAGTCAACGGTTCAAATCCAAGTCTGGCTCTGTTGTCATTTTTACTCGCAGAACACTGCCGTTGATTTTTTTAAATTATATCTTTTTGTTTTGTTATCCTTATTACTTCTTTGGTGAAAGTTCCAAAATTCAACAAGATGTGGGTTTTCTTTTCAAAAATGATTTATCAAATCTATTGCAATGTCATAGATATGGTTCAGTTGATAAAAGATGTTTTTGCTCATGGCCAAGGGGATTCACTCTGAGAGGTTTCACTTCTCTGATTTTCGCTATGGAAGTTCAATTTTTAAAATGTGAAAACGTTTGTCTAAAGGAAACATTTTCATAACATTTATGCATAGCATCTTTTTTTGTTGAATGATGAAAAGATATATATACGGATCAATTCTTGAAAACAACATGTAAATTTTTCGTCTCTTTTTCGTTTATATTTCATCTCAATTTTCGTCAGATTAACGCATTACTTCCCTAGAACAAACATAACTATGACTTTTCAAAATATTTAGAAAATTATTTTTATTTCCATGCCTAAAATTGTTCATCATCATCTATTGATTAATTGAACAACACATATGATTTCCCTTTTTAAGGTCGAACCTTTTAGCTCACATCGACTCGAGAGGCTTCTTCTGTGTGATCTGTTTTTAAATATTTGGGACTAAGGTAGGTGAAAATAAGGGACGGCATTACCAGAAAAAATACAGAAATTATATTGATATGTTGTCGTTCAAAAGAACGAGTGCAATTCTTATGACTTACTTGTGAGATCAGCGCTACTAGTGTTCAGTCGTCCATCCTGGACTAGTTGGTGCACCCCGTCATCTGGCTTCAGGGAACATATGACTTCATCTTTTGAAACCCAAACATCTGCGTCGATAACCGTTGTACAAACAACCTCTCCTCCTTCAGAAATATTGAATGTGTAGGTACAAGATACATCATCAAGAAATAAAGTATCTTCTCCCTTTTTAAGTTCCGGTACGATAACACCATGGTGACATCCAGTTTTCATAGAACACGAGAGATATACTGATTTGCTAACGCCATTTGCTCCCAAATATGGTTGAACAGATACGCGCACATCCTCCAAATTACCTGTAAATGATCAAACATGAGGATTTGTTACAGACATTTTGAATATAAATACAGCTCTACGCCCAGAACTTCATAACGAACATAAATTGACTTAAAAAAATGTCATGACAATTTATTTGACGATTCACTACGTGTTGCCCTTTACCAAGTTTACATTTTATTATTAATCAATATTAATGTATATTTTACTAGGTCATGTAAAACATTGGACTTTTGTTAATTATGTAAACAGATCAAATCTTGGTCTGGTAATAAAAGTGCTAATCGCAGCTTTTCCGGGGTAAACTATATATTCGTAGTACTTCTTGAGGAAAAGTTTTAAACATCTCACAAATGTATACTATGATAGTTACAATGAAGACGTGCATGTAACAATACGTAGCCCAAGCCTGCAAACGTTTAGTCAAACGATAATCAATTGCATATAACTACTCAGTCTAACTAATGTTTTAGGTTCAAGGGAATTGCTTGATTTTAAATTATTTGCATGACGGATGCTCCTTAAAAAATAGTTTGAGCTTTAAAATAGATAGATGTTTCGTTTCTTTGATTATACTTTTTATCATTGTCAACTGTAAAGTTCTGATAACAGATACATTGTATAAGATATTTTATCGCATTAAATGAGGATTGTAAAATTTACATGTATTATTATTATTATATTATTTAACTGTAAACGTTCATATTTTAGAAGTAATTTTAAGTGGTTTTGGCGATTAAAATATTACGCTTTACTATGATTGTGCTGTTTGAAGTTTCTTATTTCCTAATGCATATATTGTGAGTACGCCAATGCATCAACGCGTTGTTTTGTTACAATTTAACAATGTGTAAATTACGAATGAATACGATACAATAGGTGCATTCCGAATATCATGATAATGTTAAATTTTAACCTATTCCATGCATATGTGTAAGACTTTATAATCGTGTCTAGTAATTATATATTGATTGGTACACATTACTTTTTACATTTTACATGTAAGAGACAAAAGTAATGAATATTTATATACTTACCTAAATACGTAAGTGAGAATGTCTGGTAGTATTCAAGGCCGTTTGAACTGTTGAGATATTCAAAAAGATATACCCCTTCCATGTTACAAGTCAAAGCTCCCAGAATTGGTGACACCGTCAGTTTTTGTGTATCCGATGACCAACTGATAGTCCATAATCCGGCCAAAGTGATGTTGATGGAATTCCGTAGATGAACACTTGCATTAACTATTGTTTTGTTTCCAGGAAAGGATAATCTGACTTTGGAAACGTCAAAGGCAACACTGGCTGCGACTTGTGGACATTGTGACTCTGCAGAAGCGGAAGCACTTGGGGAAATAGATCCATCACAGAATGGCAATGGTTCGAGAACTAGTCACCGGAAATTAAGAATTTGAAAAAATTAGGTTCATACTTTAAATTAAAACAGAACTAAATACAAATAGGTTAAGTATGGTTTTATATACATACAATTTACTCACATGATACATATAGTCAAATCACATTTACGGCCGCATAACCAGTAACTATGCAACTTTTCTTATTAGATATGTAAATTGATACTGATATACATTGTTCATATCACTATTACTGTACACGTAATTCTAATTGGAAATGATATTTTAGAATTTTGAACATAAATAAGTCTACAATGTACATCGCTGTTTTAATTTAATAATTCACTGGGGGTTTTGGTGGGTTTTTTAATATCTTTTCTCCAAAAAATGCAATAATTACATGTAAATCAATATTATTTAAGTAAAATCACAAATAAGGAAGAGTTAAAACTAGTCATGTTTGACGCATTTTAAATATGATTTTAATTATTCTATTTGTCAAATCTTTATCGGAGTTATTGAGGGAAATGCATGAATATAGAAACATTTATATTTACATTTGGTTGATAACGTATTAATGTGTACACATAAATTTAGCGGAAGCGCGACTTTTCTACAACATACATTTATAACTCGAAATCGTACCATGAAATTTCACAATATTACTCTGCACATTGCATTGTCTACAACTTTGTTCAGTAGTATGTAAATAAGGATCAATTTCTTTGTTAGGTGGGATTTGGACATGGGAGTATGACCTATATAGTAACTTGAAATGGGTCTTAAACCTTTGATTGTAACGGGAAATAGATTCATATTTTGGTATCGTGGTAATGTTGAAGGGTGGACAATAGTATTGATCTTAGAAATTTAGATTTGGTCTTTATCCTGGTTATGTGATCATCAAATGGTAGACTTTCGCAAAAAAAAATCGCTATATTAACGCCGGTTACTCTCCTTTTAATCCTAACCAAAGAACATTTTTTGATAAAAATATTGGTATTTCATCTTATTTCGGATAGAAATTGAAACTATAAATATATTTCATACAGTGAATACCTGCTTAATATATTACCCAAGTGAAAGATAATAATGCCTTAGGGAGTTACAGATGAGGCAAAGGCAAATACTGTTTTCGTATATATAAAAACATTTCGTACTTTTTGGCGGTGGAGGATTGGTTGGTTCCGGTAGATATAATATCCCGACGATCACAAGGGCGATAACTCCTAAAACCATTGGAATGATAGTAAAAAAAGAACACATTCTTCGGCAGGACATTTTCTGAAACAAATATATAAAAAAGATAATGCTTAATGATTGTTTCTGGTTTAGTGTTGTCACAGCACATCTTTTGAAAAATGTTCAATAGAATTCGTAACATATTGAAGGTTGAGCAAGTAGTGTGGTTTAAACATTATTTTACGACACAATTTAACTTTTTTGGCTAATTCAGTTTCTTTTTTCTAAATTCATTCGATATTCTTAAATGCAATATGTGTATTTGGATACTCAAACGACGATATTGAGATAGTTAAAAACCAGAAGTACAATTTTTGTTTGGTATTGGTGTTTTTTTCATATTTGATTTGAGTTCCAAAGCAAGTAACAATAAATCAGATACAGCCAGTAAAATATTTAATTCAACTTAAAACGGTAACTTCGTTTTTCATGATCGCTTACCTCAACTTTTTCATCTTTAAGACCAACTGTCTCATCCAATAGGATATGGCCATTATCTCTATCCATGCGTATCATTTCGAAATCGCCACCGGTAGCTGCCGCAGTGAAGTTCTGCAAATAATGCAAACAATAAAGGATGTTTATTTCATATTGTTATGGGTAGACAAATGTACATTGTAACACTACCAACTTATTTATCATATGTATACAAGTATATATCAAATAGCTTCTTGTTCGTAAATACAAATGAAGTAAAACTTGTTTGTAAGCATATGTGAAATGACCACACGTGTGTAAATACATGTAAAATAAACAAATATTTGTATGCATATGTACAGATTTATGTGTGCTAATGTGAATGTATATGTAGGTGTATGAATATAATAGCGTGTTTGTAAGCATATATAAATACCAACGCGTGTATAAGAATATGTGAAACAGCTTCATGTGTTCAAACTTATATAAAATTGCCGCTTGCGTATAAGAATATGTAAAATAACCATGTGTGTGTAAGTATACCTGGAATAGCCACGGGAATGTAAATAATTATGTAAAATAGTCATGTGTGTTTAAAAACATGTAAACTAATATATTGGTATTTTGAAATTAGATCTGAAGTAAAAAGAATCAATTACTGATTAAGATTAAGCTAAATACCGACCTTGAACAGATTTTAAACTACAAAACTGTTTAATACTTCATATTGCTGATAACTCTCTGTGGTTTAGATAGCCTCTGATGAGCAAACTATGTGATCATTAAGTAATAATTATAAAAGTGAAATTACCGATTACATGTATGATCTCCGTAATTAGGATTTGAATATATATGTATATACATGTAGATTTATAGTTTTTTTTAAGCACGTCTGTATGCGACATAACATATAATTTTAAATTAAGAAAAGCACACATACTCAATAAACCAACCAGCAAACGGAAACATAAATTTACCTGATTTATTAGAAAGAAATTTAACAGAATAAATTTGTATCAAAGATAACTTTTTAATCAAACACTCTACGTATCAAACGGGTCCAAACGTTTCAAGACCGATGCGTACCATGTTTGTGTAGAAAGTCTTCTTTGATGCATACATATTTCGGCACTGATAAATCTTATTGAATACATTAGAGATAAAAGCTACCATATTTAAAAACACGCACGTATTATTGCTACGATAAAGGTGAACAAAATGCTATACATGTACCTGGTATGTGTGACCTGCCAATAATGTTTCTATCCTTGAAAGCTTTATAGACGTTTGTATGTAAAATCACTATACACAAATTCCATATCCACGAATACTAATTTGTGATTTCAATAGAAATATGTATTCTTACGATACGTTTCTTTCAAAGCAGGATAAATAATCCAAGAAAACTACGACTTAAAATCCAATGAAAAAATACATACTTTAATACAATGACGTCGAAACATTTTTCTGTACGTGATTCAGTACACTTGTGATACAGGGTGCACTGTTTACAAACGTTGACATATTAACAATTCTGACGCAATCATGGGATTTACAGCATGTCTACTTTAGCTCAGGTTTGGTTTGCACAAACGCAAAGAAAAAGTACGATTTATAGAAATATTTATGGACGCCTACTGACCTATCAAAGCGTGTTCAAATACTGTAAAACACTCTGTCTATGTCACTTGAAGAGTAATGCGTTACAAGACATTGCCTTAACGTGTAATTGTTTTTATCGATAGCACATCCATATATATTGTCTTAATTACTCTTATCATCAGTGGATAACACCAAGGCGGCCGGGGGTTCGATTCCACGATCGAATGTGAAAAGCTATGGGGTCACATGCCCGACCAATAAGATTTTCTCCGGGTACTCCATTTTCATCCCATATTAAAACATCCTGCGAGCTAACAGATGAGCCAATTGATAAATATAAGTTGATATAACTTGTTTCAAAAACGTTGTAAAAATATTTGATTTTGATAACTATTATTATATATTGTATACATAATATTATCAAAAGATATGAAAGTGATGTAAAGCTCTGACTTTTTTTTAATTTATATGTATCTAAACAAATCAACATTTTGAAACAATACAAGGAAAGGTTTACAATGTTATCTACTAAAAGAGATGAATCTATAATCAAATCGATATTAAGAAACATTTTCCTTGCAAAATAAACAGATGTAAAGTTTGAGATAATATAGAGCACCTGTAAAGTGTTGGACAAAAAAATAGTCTCCCCCATTAGACAGAGATTTTGACACTTCCGGTCAGGGTAANAAAATAATCGTTCGTAGGAGTATATACCTTGGGCAAGAAATTTGAGAATCTTTCTCTTTCGGTTTGGATTTTCTGTCTTTCCCCAAAGGTGTGGAAAGATTATATTAGTCTATATATGACGTATCATCAGGGCTGTTGAATTGATTTCTGTTGGTATTTATAGTAAATTTGAATACTAACATAGACACCAGTAGTGACCAGGGAATTGAACTTTTCTTGAAAAGCATACGAAAGGTATTTATTATGACCCTTTCTTATTATGTTTTAAATTCAATATTTTCCTCATATTTGAGAATATCATCAAAAAGACATCTTTAAACAACCACGAGTGCTAACTGAGATAGAATATAACACTGTTGAGAGAGTCATGCTATTCATAACAGATAAGGAGATGCCACACAGATTTGTTATCTGTTATGCAATATTTTTATTAACATAACAATGACAGGATTATTTTTTTTCTAATACCTTTCCAGATTATGAAATATTTTCTTTACCTGACATCGTAATATTTTAAACTTCGTGATGACCTTCAAATTGTGTACCTCTTATTGGAACGCATCAGCTATAATTAGTCGGGATACAATATTGGACTGTGAGGTGAATGCCGTTGAGAGGAAATCGTACAGTATACAGTGTAGCTTCCTGTAAGTAAATCGTACGGAGGTGCCCACAGCATCGGGAACACTTGATGCCTAACATGGCACAGAGCATCAAACTGAGATGAACAATGTTTGTTAAACTACTTCCCATGTGTAAATAAACAATGTAAACTGGGCTGTATCTGATAGATAGTAATTATTTGTCATTTCTCCTTTTTGGGGAAAGGAAACATGTCAATCTGACGTGTAACAATTGTTCTAAGTATATAGAAATCACGTTAAAAAGGCTTTAGTGCGTACACACTCACCGTTGAGAGTCACCGAATACAGCCGATATTACAGGGATATACTGATTGATATGTATGATTGCTCAAGCGATCGTTTCACATTGAATGCTTTTTCTAGTTTTAAATCAGCTATCTATTATTCATGGCACATATCCGATGACGGCTAGGAGCGATTGAAAGCCTACACAAATGTTCAGCGTTCATTTTTTGTACTCTCTTAAGAGTTTCCCAGTAACAGAAAAGATAGTAGTATGTTTCACAGGGGATCGAACCCGCGATCCACGACTTCCTAGTCGGACGCTCTACCAGTGAGCTTAAGAGGAAACGCGAAGCTAGAAGGCGACCTTAACCCTATGCACAGTTAAAATCTGCCACACTACTCTCCCCTTTTTAAATGTGTTCGCCTTCGAACACCACAACAAACCAGTGCTTACTCCCTGTTACAACAGGAAGGGCCACGGACATATAAATATAGGCGGAGGTATAAAGACCAAATTGCGTGACGTCATCACTACATGTAGTAGATGTGGGCGAAGTTAACTAAGGCTTATGCAAATTTAAATCTGTCACTTTTATTGAACCGATCACAAGTTATTATGGTGGTTTTTTTAAATTAATTCATGTCCGCTGATCTGACTAATAAATCAAATAGTTATGAACCTTTCACAGATATATACTGTAGAGATACAGAATAGTTTTTCTCCTAAAACCTGGTCAAAATCGAAAACTATCCCTAAAATTATTTTATCACATATACCATTGATAGCTTTGTTTCATCCCAATTCTTACAAAACTTCCAACCCTCTAGTTCTGTCATCACTATACAAATTATAAAAATTGTCACATAAAATACGGACATTTCCAACATACCGACACTCCAAAGCATTCAGGCCGAATATCATGTTATACAGTAAGTGAGTCACTCTAGATCTATGGATGACACTTACAAGCAAAGCTACCTACCTTCTCCATCGACGTTACTTTACCTCACACTAGACACAAACGGTCTAACTTAGCCATATTACATACCAGTGGCGACGCCATTTCGGTACTGTTTCTGAAGGTGGTGTATGAATTAGCATATGACACACCTCTTTGATGAGAATAGTGCTTGTCCTGGAAATAAAATAAAATAAGAATAAATAAAAATCAAGAAATCGTCCACAGGTGTCCACAGATTTGGTATATTTTATGCCAGTTTTTATCTAAAGCTATGCGATGTTACTTTTATGTATTGTTCAACCTTTGAGCTGAAAATGGACAGCGTTGCTGCGCATATTATGCTTTATATTAATCGAAACTTTACCTAATTTACAACAATTATGAAACAAGTAATTTCAATCTAAGTTAAACACTCTTTTTTTGCCCTGATGTTACCGGACGGATGTCTTAATATAGGTGGAAACCGAAAAACCATGTGAAAACACACGTGGTCGGGCAGGTGATCCCATATATAATGCATTGTATGAATATGTAACTTCGAAGCTTGTTTTTAGGACAAATACGTACATTTACGTTTTGGAATGCATGCAAATCAGTAAGACCCGTTTTTATCTTGGATACACGCTAGTCTTATATATGCGTACAGTTAGTGTATCTGACAGTATCGGTTCACCTTAACATATATAAGAAGAAAAAAATATGAAAATATGTAATTAATGCACGAATTATACGGTTTGTAGATATAGACATGCCCCGTATACCATTTATTTTATTTTATTGTTTTAGTTTTTTATTGACACGTTGGTTCGCCTCTCTATTAAACATATTTCATTATATCTCCAAAACCCGCGAAATTATATCAAGGATCCCTGTCCCAGTGCACAGTGAATTTTCGAACATGCAGTAACCTCCCCTTTATCTAGTTTTCGATATAATTGTAAAACAGTTGGGTCAGTACACTCCCGTTGACTAGCTACCTCAGTCAGTTACAGAAATAGTCTTAATTTTTGCAGTACGGGTTCGAATCCCGGTCTAGCCCCGCTGATATGTTTTTGACACTCAGAATACTGTTATATATTATATTTTGTCAAATAATAATAATATACAAAACTTGATATAGCGCCCTTTCTAGCTAGAATAAGCCACTCTAACGCGCTTTACAGTACCTAGATATACAATTTTTATGTACTGTTTATTTTGTATTCATCATATTCCGAAAAACAGTCCCGCAATGAGTTCCGCAATAATTATTATTTTTTTATTATTTATTTAAAGCTTTATATTTATGCTGGTAAAAACCAACCCAATGCTTAGCTACAGTTCTCTTTGGCAGTGGTAGAGGGATCCTTAAATACATTGACAATGTTATGTCGTGTAATGTGATCAAACGTGACTTGAAACCTAAATCTACATGTACCTGTACAGGTTGTTCGGTAGGTTATTGTTGTGTTTAGCGTGGCAGTAATTGTTACGTGAAAGTCTGTAAACAGTGCACTTACGTCTAGAATAGATTGATAACTATTAGACAAATCCCTTTCATAGCTAGAGTATAGGTGGATGCACAGTGCACGGCCTCATAACTAATGAAGTTGTTGCTTAATGTATAGTTATTCAGCGTTGCTGAAACAGCATCTGAGAGAAAATACGACTGTATAGCTAGTTGTAACTTAACTGAATTAGATTACAAAGTTGTACGGCCTTATAACTTTTAACTGAGATAAGTGTATTGTACCTGTATGGTCTAAATAGGCAATATCACAAATAAGTATGGTAATGATTTTTTATTACATAACTATAGTTGTTATTTGTATTCATGTGATCATTTCTAAAAATGTTATTTGTCTTTAGCGTGTTAATGTTCATTTTTTTTCCGAAATGGCGGACAGAGTGATATCGAGGGCGAAATAATGACGTCAGGTCAGCATAGCATAAAATGGTGCTGAAATGTTTGGAACCTTTTGTTTGCATTTCGTTGATTTGATCAGTGGTTAGGAACTGGTGTGTTCCAGTCAAAAATTAGCTCGGCTACTTCGGTAATACAAAATGTTGAAATATCATAGAGTGTAATACAGGACCTTATCTTGCATGGCTTGAAATCTGGCCGTATTACTATAGTAAGATTCACCAGGTATGTAATGATCATTAATGCATTGTAACTTACTCTAACATACACGAGTTATAATACAGCACCTCGTAGCTGGTGTATCGCACATAGTGTACAGAACCAAGGGACTTAGGTAAATACAGACTTTGTGTGTTGGTAGTACAAGGAAGAGAGCGTGACCTACCAGAATTAGGTATATTTATAAATAGGTCGTTCGCCTGCCGAGTATTTGTATAAGCGTTAATGCAGTTAACGATATCCAATACCATTTATGACATGTTTACTTACCTGCGTTTCCTCCTTGTTTACATTAAATACATCTGTATAACAATGACGTCACATACATTTTGGGGCCAGACACAGTCTGATAAGAATGCTATCAAATAAGAAACACTTGTTTTCATATTTTTCTTCGACTGTGGTAAACAGACATGATTTGGACAGCCATCCGGAAAATTACGTTTATATCACATCTTTCGGTTTTTTGTCGTCGAAGAAGACAGTTGCCACTTTATATGTGGTTCTGCATAAATAACAAATTACATAGATAAGACCTGCGATCTCTAATCATCAAAGTTTTACTTTAATCCCAAACAATTTTTGTATTAAACGTGTCGCAACGTTGCAAGACCGACTGGTCCCTTTGTAAAGCTATCGTATGTTAACAAAGGGACCAGTCGATCTTGAAATTGTTTATGGATGTAGTAAAACTTTAAATTACATATTTCCAAACTCATGAATCATATTGAAAATGCCATTTGTAAGTAATTATTTTTTTGTTTTGTTATCCAATATTTATAAACTATCTACATCATTAACTAAAAGATAATTAACAAATAAACAAATAAAGTAAACAAATACATTTGAATCAATTGTTTTAGGGAAACGTTGTTCAAGAATGTATTTGGATTTGGGGACTAGGGGAGAAAACTCCTTCTAAAGTGTATATACATGTGTGAATGACCAGCGAAAGGAAAGTAAAACATCTATACCGTGTTTGTGAGATGAATTGTCAGTTGACTTAATGTGTATCTCAGTTACAGTGTATCCTCCTGAAAGGTTACTAGGTTTACTTCAGTAGAACATTCGATTTCTTTTTTTTAAGTTTATCAATTTGGATCAGCCCTGATTGTTATTGTTATTTATTTCCAAAATTAAGGCAAGGAGGGATTTTCGAAACAATAAAATCAGATTGGATACATAAATTACAATCATGTATACCCCAGTTTTGATCATTCAGAACGTCCATATGGTACCATTATTGTCAAACAAGTTGGGTTTAAGTAACTCGATATATAAGTATAAAAAATGAGTGGGAAGTGCAACAATAACTGTTTGACATTTTTATAAGCAGACAAATATATAAGAAACTAATGTACAACTGCGTGTCTTTTACATGTCAAACATATTAGAAATAAATGAATAAGGTAGATTAGTTGAGTGCAAATCTGCTGCTGCTGCTGCTCACAATTGAACCTCTTAGAAGAAATCCTCTCCCTATGCGTGCCTGTGATACCCACTGCATTTGACACCCTTAATATACATATGTAAACCTCACTCCTCTAACAAAGTAAGTTCCCTCGATGTTGAACAATCTCATATGATTATACAAATAAAACGCCATCGTCAATTTGTTATCTGTATACAAGATATCCTGAACAACAAAATCTCCTAAAACTACATCTGATTCGCTTAGGTGACTCGTCAAAGATCCTTTAACTCTTTCATGAACAGGTTACATTAATATTCAAAGATAGATTTTTGCTTCATCTTAAATCTTTATACCCTTTCCGTTTTGTCTCAGAGGTGCCTTCTTCCAACTACCGTTACCTATTATTTTAGCCAGAATTTTACTCCTTAATATGTGTCAAATATGCAATATTTTGGCTGTTGTATCACATTTTAGCTAAATATCTAGGTCTTAACGTTTGATCTGAATTATGTCATAAATTAATTGTATCCCCAATCAAATTCATATATGTATAAATTATATCTGCAGATCTAGAGGCTTAAAAAATGTTAAAGAAAATAGCACCAACTGTCCTAACAGTACACGTACTACAGCAGAGAAAAGATGTTTGATGTATGTGCATTCTTTATAATCAATGTGGAGGATTCTAGATGTAATGGATATTATACATTGTAGGAAAGTAGAAGAGGATCCTTGTAAAGTTGTTGCGACCAACCGTCTTCACTCCTGCTGAATTATTGAGTAGAAGCGTTGGAAGCACTTTACTTGTAGGTAATTCTAAATTACAATAATAACTTACACGTAAGTAACAAGAGGCCCAGGGGGCCTTATCGCTCACCTGTTTCTTTTATTACATGAAACTGACATATAGGTAACGTCAGACCAAATTTGGTAACTAGAACACAAGCCATGTTAACAACTCTTAAACGGTTCTTTAGATATTGTTGTTTGAAATTTGAAAATTGTAACTTTAAAGCTTTAACACACGTTGACCTTTGACTCCGGCTAGCACTTAAAATTGACCATTGATCTCATACTGTGATAACAAAAACGATTCATACAGCTGGTCTACATAACATACCCAAGTGTCATGACTCTAGACCAAATGGTTCTTCAGATATTGTTGGATCATAAAAAGAAGATTTTTCAAACTTTTAACCCATGTTGACCTTTGACCCCTGACTAGCACTTAAAGCTGACCTTTGACCTCATTACTGTAATTAAGGAAAAGATATGCATTGCTGGCGTGCATAATATACCCAAGTATCATGACTCTAGTCCTTTCAATATTGTTGTTTGAATTTCTTAACATATTTGACCCCTGTGACCTTTTAGTGAGGAAACTTTATAACACTCCATCCCATCTACCTACTGGTCAAATACCGTGACCCTAGGTCAATCAGTTTTTCAGTAGAAGTCGTTCAAAAGAAAAAGTTGACGGACAGACAAAGGACGCCGCACTACGGCATAAGCTAATAAAGTACAACTGTTTTGAAATCTACCCATATTGCAATTGTTAAGAGAGATAATGAAAAGTATAGGGTCATGATTACGCTATAAAATATGCAAAGCATATTTCACCATAAGTTTTCAATTAAAACATACAATAATACGAAATTTTGAATTCATATTTCACCGAAATTTAGGTACATGTACATGTATATACATTAACTGCGGAATGACATCTGAAACATTACAATACATGCATATGCAAACTGACTTTATTGTCGCGAAAATACTTATCTCTGTACTCTTATTCATAAATATAAATATTCATCGAGGTTGGTACACTTATAAGTAGCTAATAGGCAGAGTAAGATCTTTAAAAAATACTTTGAAAAAATGTCGGTCTGGGCAATATGTGTCTTGCAAACCATTTCAAATATGATAAAAAAAATGTATAGAAGGTTTCATATTAAGTCGTTTGGCAAGTCACTCATGTTAAAATATGCATGTCACGCGCATGATTCTTGAACACCACACTCAACCACTTTTAAAATGCTGTAATACATGCATTCAAGCACACCATTTTAAACGCTCAGAAAGTTGTTAGAAAGATTTCACATCAAACCACTTCCTGATAATATTACTTAAGATATCAAATAACGCCCTATTTTTCTGAAATCATGACCATCCTTCTATGCTAATTAAATCAAGCGCCCCACGCAATCTATAAACTTTTAGTGAATTCATATTTAGATCATAAATGGCTACCCACCTAAAACACCATGTGAAGTCAAACTTATTTCTATTTATTATAAAATTACTGTACATAAATAGAGAATAACACATGCCTTTTTATGTCTAAAACATCCCTCGAGCCGATATTGCAGTCTCGGGTTGATACTGGGTGTGATAGGAAAAAACATGTTTTATTCTCTTTATTGCATACTTACTAATAAAAGCTACTATCTTATGATCTATTATTCTTTTGAAATATTGGAAAACGAAACATTTCCAAAAGGGGTGTGATACGGGTTTTGCAGTGTGATACGGCGAGGGCTGATATGGGTTAGAGCGTATCGCATATACAAAAAATCCGTATTTATTAGTAAGTATGTAATAAATATCAATATTAGTATAAACCATATACCTGCATTGAACTGATAAAAAATGAAGTAATATTAAAAGAATTAAAAATAAATAAATTCAGTAATATACATCGCATAATAATCGCGCATGCAAACTTTAATGAAAATTGAAAGAACAAAAAACTTCCTTTTATTTTTATACATACGTGAACGAAAATACTAATTATGTTTACTTTGAACTAACAAGTTCTTAACGACGTAGTGGACATAACTTCCTGGTTTGGTTAAACTAACATAACCATACCTAAATGTTACACAATAGAACCATCCATCTGTACACAACCGGCTCGTACACCCATATACACTTATATGTTTACAATACGTATGCTCGTGTGTAGTCTCTGTTGGTGTCACGTTTCTATAAAAAATACATATTTTTAAAAATCGGATGGTGGATACTGACGCCCCAACATAATTTATGTGCATGCAGAGGCGACATGATATTCTCAGAATCACAAAACACACATGTCAGTTGGGTTAGTTAAGGAATGCAGTAAGCTATAAACTACACCACCGTCTATAATTTAGCCTCCGCCTTTCCTACGTGATTTCCCTATTTAATATTTCTGTTCCCCGTTTCAGTATTTCCCCTGTTTGTCTCCATCTGTCCTGTTTTAACTGTTTAAGGCTTCACAGAGAGTATATGGAAAGCCTTATTGTTTCAAAGAAGTTGCATTTGAATTCCTACTTTTGTCTCAATTAATTTCAGAACACAATTTAATACCGATATTCTGCTTATAGACATAGCGACAGATAGCGTTACAGCTACTTGTGAAGAACACAGAATTACACGTAACACAGAGCAAAAATAACTTACAAAAAAGTACTTACACAATGTCTGTATTTTCCTGAGAAATGGTTAATCACACTGTTCTAGAAATACTGTTATTGTAACAGAAAGTCAAATGAGGAGCTTGAGTGGTAAACATTAGTCCCATGCTCCTCATACATGTACAAATTACACATTGTTTGTTCAATATATGCTCTCTTTATATATCTATTGTTTTAACTGCCATTTTACTATCACAGTAAACAATGTCCATGAACCAAAAATCATAAAAGCAACCTCCGTAATATTACAGATCTGTCACATGGTTCGAAAACGTTATATATTGTTAACTGATATACAGGAAGTTCTGTGGACAACAATACCTACCTAAACGAATCACCCAGACAACACGTCCACTATGCACACCATGTATACCGGCACTACATGTATATATGTATATCTACCCGATATGCAATTCGTCCTACTCGGGTGACTTTGACACACGGCTATACTTACCATTCAAATTGTGTAACAGCGCCCCTCCTCGGTGCCGAAACGTACAAAATATGGTCTGTATGTACATATCGTACCTCATTTACCTAGCAAACAAGGAAGCAAATTAAAGGAACGAGCATGATTGTCTAGTCTATCCAATCACTATAGAGGCATTTGTAAGCATGATTGTTAGCTTAACGCTATCCTTTAATAACATATCAAAATGGAATAAATTATTAGTTTATCATTCCTACTACCACGATGGTGATGATGGTATTTAGAAATGATGAGGATTGCATATTCTGTGCCAAAAAGAGTACAAAATGCTTCAGGTAAGGCTGTTATGTTAAGCAACCTAAAGTGTGTGTGCGTTGGTAAAAGACCGTAATGTAACGGGTGAGTGAGTCTGTAGCTACGGCTTCCCTGTTAGACTGAACACACACACCCTATATACGTGTACAAGACAGGGATATGCACAGCCTTAACGAAAAGTGATACGCCACACTACTTAATGGAAGTGTATTCAGGTACAAATTAAACAATGTTGTTGGGTACATTGTCTACATACAATATGTATAACAACGTATATTGCAAATCATGCTGAATTTGTGGAATAATTGTCGATTTCTGTACGCAGCAATATAGTTTATTAGTTTTCTGTGTGTGCGTTCAGTATACTAAGCAGATCAGGCAGTGCTCATTCGTTAGTCTACACGCCCATTATTATTGATTCGAAAAAATCGGCGATAGTTATATTTAACTAGTTTAAGGGCAAAGTTCATTATAACCTTGTTACACATACATATTCCATAACTGTTGTATAAGGGAAACATTGCATATTACAGTGAATATATATTTTTTTGAAATTCGCTCGTGAAGAAGTCTTGAATGTCTTGAGGACGATTTGTACCAAATTGTGTTAAAACTTGCCGGAATTATGACCAAATTAAATATTCCAGCTAATCAGAGCCATGTCGTTATCCTCGTCGCGTATGCTTTTGACACAAGGACAAAAACAATTCCATCAAATTCTCTTCAAGAGAAGAAAATATTCGTATAGGAGAACATAGGTTCCATTAAACTATAACACCTTTGCCAACAAATGATTAAACTGGTATTCAGTCAGTTTTAGTAGTTACAGTGGCGAACATAAACATACATGTACGAAAGAACCAAACAAAAAGAGAAAATTCGAACAAAACTGTCCCATACCAACTCGTCCGGATTGTCAAATTCCGCATTAATGACTTCCAATTAGAGACTTACAGAGATGAGCATTGACCCTAGTACACGCCTATATACTGTAGCTTCAGTACGATCCGCCTCAGTGGTTAACCCTTAAGGACGGCAAAGTAATTTGCATAATTAGAGAGTCGGATGTTGTTGGTGTTTGACAAATATATTCAACAATGTGACTGGGAGCCCGCACACCATACGAGGCCTAAAAAGAAGCGCTGATATTTGTACAGTATGATGAGAGTTGGACAGGATTACTGCCGGGTCTCCGGTTCTCCAAAACGTTTAAAATTACAAAAGTGACAAAAACAAAGCTAATAAAAATCGTCCACCTTACATTTAAAAAATAGTCACATCCTGAAACATGAGGTTTTACTCATAGCATGTGTTTGGTGAGACTTTGCGCTAGTAAGCTCTATTTTAAAGTATATCATGCAAACACAGGTACGATTCATCTTTAAAAATATTCTGAACACCTGGCCATAATTTCTTAAATGAATAAACCTGTTTATCATGTATTTAATAAGACAGCATGATATAAAACCTTTAGCAAATCTCAATTAAGACCCTGTCAAGTTTTGTCAAGATAATGATAGACATTTTCTCTAGTCTAAAGGTTAAATAGAATACTAAGTAGTCCCCTGAAGAAGAAATCTCAAACCCCATGGTAGCCTGCATCTTCTACACAATAGTATGTCAAAATTATAATCGTAGACATACGTTGATATGCAATATTATGTCATTTTACAATAAAATGAATAGAGAATATTTTTTCAACTACCCTGGTTATAGCACATGTGACGAGTTAGCAGATTTTACCTGTAACATGTATATAAAGGCCCATTCAAAGACAATGACCAGGTCCTGCTGTCAAATTTCTTCCATGCTTAATAATTGCCCGATGTGAAAATTATAATCTTTAACATGCCTGTATATGCCATATTGTAATTCTGCAGTAAAGCGAATAGAGAATATGTTTTCAACTGCCCTGTACATAGTGAGTTCATTTTACCTGTTATATAAGGGTCAATACAAAGACCATGGCCATTTTCTGCTGTGAAACTGAAAGTCTCTTCCACTCTTCCGTTGCCTGATGTCGTGGTGAACACACTGGTTTCGATGACATATTGAATGCCGTGAGTAATAAGACATCAGAAATAGTGTTGTCTATCTAAAACAAAGATGGTGCCCAAAACATTCCTCTATGTTTACTTGTAGTTGTCCTTGGACTTCCCTTTCGGTAATGAACACAACCTTCCACATCGAAACTTCCAAAGCATTCATACACAAACAGTAGTTATTAAATGCTTTTCACAATTCCACTTTAGAATACAACTGTTGCTTGTCTGAAGTACTTCCATCTCTTGGAACTTGGACATTCCAAGGCTCGTATCCTCCCAGGTTGTCAATCCTCTTCCAGACAACACAATTCCCTTGTTATGCTGTACACATGTGTTGACGCTGTTGTTTATCTTCATGTCCATCGTCATAAACAATGCTGTTTACATGTCTTTGTCAACAGATTTCATGCATTTGTCTCTGTTTATTTAGATCAATAGATAATCGTCTTACATTAAAGGATTATTCTCTCAGACTCATTGTGTGTCTATTCAATATCCTCCAACGTACCTCGTCATTCTCTTGACCGTTTTCTGATGAGCCTTTTCTCTCGATTCTCCCTAAAACACCATAAAAGTGATATTTTAAGTATCGGGCATTGCACAATGTATTGGATCATTTGGAAAAAATACTCTTAAATACCCGAGATTGAGATGGGCAGTGCCCAATCTATAGCTTGTGACATCATTGGTGTTTCAGTGTAAGTGCCAACGCTCAAAGAGTATCTTTTTAGAACTTGATCACTCGACTCCTCTCTTATGTCTCAATGCTTGTATAACATAATCGTGATGGCAAAAAAAGTCAAGTTAACTGGTGTAAGGTAGGTCACTATTAGCTTGTCCTTGCAGGACCACAGGCGACCCAAGTGATAAAAGGTTAATCCCCTAACACTTCTTGCTCTTGCGCATCTTCCGGAACCGGTACATAAGTCTTTGTCCAGTATTTGAATTTTCTCTGGCATTTCTGTTGTGTCATCCATTATGATGATTCTTTTTGGATTATTTATCGCCCTGAGGTCTCATTCAAAAGGTATACAATCCGATAGACGGCGTTCTCGGAGAAAAACCACCAACCTACGGCCAGTACCTTGCAAATGCCCCACGTAGGCCTCGAACCAGCGACCCAGTGATGGGAGGGCTAGCCGTACAATGTACAAAGACTCATTGGTACCTCCCATAGCAATCATCTTAGTTCATATGTACACATAAAACTCTGTCATGTCATTGATTTATCTTTATTACAAAATAAACGTTTGTTAAAATCCATGTATACAATCACACGACTTTGTAGAACGCTTTCATTGACATAAAATCAGAATTACCAATCACAGAAAATTAAGTAAAACAACTTCTGACTTCAATTACACTTATCATGAATTCATCATGGAATCAATAAAAATCAGCATGTTTTTGGTTATACGATTAAAAAGTTGACAAAAAAATACAAGCCCTTGAATCTATATAATGAACTTTTGGTTTTCTAAACAAAATTTCAAGTTCATGTGAAACAGAATTTTAAAGATTTGTAAACTTATGAACTCTTCATTTATAAAGACCTTTTCCCAATTTTAATTTAACTTTATCGATTTTAAACCAATTACAAAACAATTTTGATCAACTTATATTAATCACTCTTGTCTGCCCGGATAGTAGTGCAAAGGGGGCCCTATGTTGGAGGAAACTGGAGTACCCTGAAAAAAACTGTGTGGTCAGGCATGTGACCTTATACTTTTCCACGTCCAATCGGGAAATTAAATCAAACACGGATCGTCTTGGTGAAAGGCGAATGCGCTTTTCACGACCCAAATAAGTTGGATAAATTTACCACATAATGTAGCCAAGTTATAAACACCCTATATCAAGTTCTGAAATTTCAGTTTAATAGTTGTTACCTTTAACGTGTGTAAGAAAGCTAAATATACAGAAGGAAGTCGAGACAATCCAACTTTATAAATGATGTGATCATGGACCAGCCTTCCCGATATAAAATTCGGTAATTAAATCCAACGAAGCAAACTAAAAACATGTTATATTTTCACGATCATGTTACATAATAATGGCTATAAAATATACTTCCTGGCAAAGTAAAGTCTTTCTAACAAAATAAATAGGAGTAATCAACAAAGAGCCTTGATATATATATAAAGTCATTTTGATTCGTTGATTCCTATTTATATTTTAACCATTTACGATGCAATCACTAAAGTTAGTGAAAATTATGATGAGGATGTCATCAAGTGGATTTCATGTTCTTATCTCTTTTTTTCTGCAGGCAGATGTCTTTAGGTATTCACCATTAGTATCCACAATGCAGATATACACATTTGGATCATTACCAGCGCAGAAAATACTCTTTTATATGATTTATCAGGCCATCTGAATACACTTCTCAGACAATTCTGAAACAATGACGAAACTACATACAAATGCATATATACATGTACATTTGAGTAAAAGTGAAAGTTCATTCATATGATAATATCTTGTTTGAACCAGTTCCTTTTCGTCTAGTGAAATATTTGTTCGGTTTCAATTTCTGCCCTTAGCAGTGAAATAGTTTGTACAGCCAGAGCCGCATGTACTACACTCTGGCTTTATATGTCTCTATTACAGCAGATGTTTTATATAAGGAGGGGAGGTAACTCGTAAAGGTGGACGAAAACACGAATCTGTATTCATGAAGGCTTGTAGACTATGTATGCATGTTGACACATGTAGATGTGCATGCATGCAAATGAATGTATCTTCCTTTTTGCATATGATATATATAAGATGGTATGCAAGAAAATGGATATAGGTTTGATATTTTACGAATACATGTAAATGAATTTATGTGATTTGTACAGTCAAATTTAAACTGTTTATATATGTATGTATTATATAGTTGTGGAATGAAAATATTTTGAAAATAAAAATGAATATATTTGATGTTATGTCTTGTCTTGAATAACCTCTTTTCACTGACAATCACTGACATTCTCAAAGAAGATAGAAGAAAAAAAAAAAAAATAAAAATACATAACTGTATCCTAATCACAACCATAAATATGCAAATCATTAAATTATTGAAAATAACAAGTGAGTTAAACTGCAACAAATAGTTGCTTGTATACCTCTATAGGAATGAGGAATATATATAGATGGGAATTAAAACCTATATAAAGTCTTTCAAATACATTGATATGTGAGAAAGCGGTTTTCATTGAGCAGGCACTTCACAAACATGAACTTCTACTACACAAACACACAATGGACAAAATAAAAAAGTAGGTACGATTCTGAAATTCATTGATACAATCAAAAATTTTAAAATTCAACTGCCGTCATAGCAACAATACAAAACTATTGAAAAACATTTAATTCCAGAGCACCAACAAAACTTGACATATGATTAAATATTTAGTATCTATGAGTCTAAAATATTTAACATCTCTGACAGGGCTTTCAGTGTTTTTGACACCCCAAAATGAGCTTTGAATCTTGGGTTGTGAAGGACAAGTCTATCCTACACTTTGACTCTCCAAAATTCAGGAGGAGTTAGTTTGATTTTTAAAGTTACTAAATATCAAGGGTCAAATGCAATCAGTCATTGAATGAGCCAATACAATCTTCTACCGAGAGAGATGTGAAAGGTTCTACAGGTACAGTTCAAAACTTGTTTTCATAGGATTTACAACACTTCTTATCAGTCCCGAAAGAAGTCGTTGTATGCATGGAATATTCAGAGAAAGTGTTTTATCTCCTGCCCACACAACTCCAACAACCCAAGTGGAGTATAAATTGGTCTGGGGTGGATGTTGCGGTATCTGTGCTGTAGTATTCAAGTGAGGTGGTTCTATAAATGATGCCATTGGAAGCACAGCCCCACTACAAACAGAACACAATACATCTCCAGCACACAGCAGGCATACAAACAGAGGGATATATTAGCCTGGTGGCATAGGACTAGTAGTTAGCACCTGATAAGGCAGCTCCTGCGAATTCCTCAAACATTGTATTGATTAATGTATATGCTAATTGTATCAATTGTATATCTTTGTAATGTAATGTAAAGCGCTTGGGGGTGGCTTATTCTAGGTAAATAGCTAAATAGGGCGCTATATCAAATGTTTTATATTATTATTTATTATTAGATAATGCACTATAAGACACTATAGCTAATTCTTTCCTAAATAGCTTTGCCATATAATCTGATTCCTTCATGCTCAAATTTTGTGCAACTTTGCGAGGTGAAATATATTGCGCTCACAAGGGTATTTTGCATTTGGGTCTTGGGATTTATTTTAAGTGTTGTATCAAAAAATCATGAAAAACGATATCAAATAGGTATTTCATCGTCATTATTCTTTGCATATTCATGATATTAATATTTGCTGGGTAATTAATATTGCGCTATCTTTGGTGACCACAAATATTGCAAAATTGAATCCCCTGCAAAAACTATGGTATGAAACAGAGGTACCGTTATAAGTACTATTAAATGGGCATACAGAACCAATTCAAAGAACCTTCAAAGACAAAAACTGCTAGCCCAAGAATTGACAAGATTAAATGACTATGTACGTAGAGGATATCCAAATGGAAATTACAGTTTACATCCGAAGATCATTCATTGGGTCGATTCAGAAGTTTAACCTAAGTAAGACCTTTAATTAGTGCTATTAACAATGTTTAAAAACTAACTCACAGCTAGAAATGTCTATAAGACTGAGTACCTTAGCTCCCTGGCCCGTACGTGGGTAAACTGATGACAATGAGTCTTTTTACAAAATAGCAATGGTTGACGTATAGCAAGTGACCTTGGCTTGACATGGACCTTGATACCCTGAATGTGGACTCTTTCAAGACATACTCAGACTTGATCTTTGTATAAACTTTAATGCAAATCTGTTAAGAAATAAAGTTGGTAGAGCCGTGACCACAGTGTGAATGCACAGACTAACCCCCATTCCCTATTTGCCTATAAAGACACTATATCAGAATATAAGGGGCGGGGCTAAGTCTGTGCATTGCCCCTGTGGCGGTGACAATGAACTATGACAAGGCAGGACGGACATAGGTAACAGTTTAGCCCCCACCCCCCTCCACTCACACATACACACCCCACCCCTGTTTCCCATTTTTATGAAGAGGCATAAAAACAAAAAATAAAAAAAGATGATCAGTCATCATCAATTGAGTATCATGGTTCTCCAAAAGACTAAAAGAATAAATAAAGGGTTTCAAGTTCATAATGAACAGTGGGATGGCAGAAATAAACTACCTGCTAAGAGTGTTGAATCCTATAGCAGTATAGGAGAAATAGAACCCTGGCTAGGAGTGATGAAACCTAGATAATGCATAGGAGAAATTTTCCATTTACTAATGTTCTGGAACAGATTGCCTTTACTTTCAATGCTAAATATTATGTAAAATAGTTGTGACTAAAGTTTTATAAACTAAGGGCCTGTTCATTTTAATATGTGGAACAACCGGTTTGTCTGTTTTTAAATGCGACATCTTCGGGTATAAATCCTGACAGACCTTGAAATGTTTATGCAGACCTCACAAGGCTTTGTCAAAGCTCGCCAGAAGCAGCATCAGTTTACTATACAGTAGGTCTGACCTTATTTCAGTAACGAACAACTCTAGTCCAACCTGTTCAACCGTTTGGATCTGGATAAATGAAAGAGATGATTTACACAATGACCTTATTGTAATAATTATAATTAACATCATTCTCTCTCACAATAAAAATACAACCATACAGCTCTGATACGGAAAACAGGAATCACCATCTACAACACATTAGGTCTGTACAACTCTACACTGGAACTCAATTTTCTATGATACTAATTCGCATCTGGATTTGTTCATCCAATCAGCCTTTAAAGATATTAGAGACTGGTTAGTCAATGTCTCTTGAATGTCTCTCGCAATATCGATACTTTTCATTATAACATATTAAAAAACTTTTTTTTTTTTAACAAAAGCAAAAATTTAAAAAATGATGTCATCATAGTTCAAAGAAACAGTAAAAAACAGATAAAAAGTATTATTTCAAAATTTAGAAAAACATTGTAATATATTGTGAAACGTTTTAAAGTATTGTACATAATATGTACATTTGTATATATCACATTTTTTTTTTTAGTATGGCAATATATATGACCCTATAACAAAAAGAGTATTTTCTTAAAACATTAAGTAGATTGAATTAAAATTGCTGTTAATCTTGTTATCTTAAATACACCTTTTTATTAGAAAAAATATATTCATCAAATAAAATAAGTTGATACTCTCAGAAAATCCATACTTGTTACAAATGTTTTTTACAAAGAAACATTTTTCAGTTATCAAGTTGTGGACTGAAGGAATTGATAACCCCAACGAGTGATGGATGTTTTAAATGTTTTGAAATGCATTGGAAGAGCCAGGAAAAAAATGATGAATTTCAAATATCCTGTAATTTCTAGTAATGAACAACTGTATTATTACTGAATAATTTACGAGAAAATTGAAACTGAAAAACTGTAAAAATTGTATTGTTGATATGGATATATAGCTATTGGCTTAAAGCATGTTTCTGCCATTTAGAACCAGATGCTATTTGGACACCTCAATATTATTCTGACAGCTGACTTTACTGACTCGGCACACTGTGCTTTTTATTAGCGAGTTGTTTTCAGCGGTTTAGAGTCGAGACACTGGTCATTTGAAATTCGCTTGACAAAGGAAACAAACGTTTCAGATGCTTGCAAAATAAGTTAACAATTACTGATTGTGTTCAAAATAAGCTTAGCACTTTTTCTTCTAGCATTATTTTTCTTAATAAATCCTTATACATATGTCAAAATAAAAGAATAAAATTCAGATTGACACAACTTGTCCTAGGTGATACGATGGGCTGCATCCCTAGTATCTTCAACGTTGCGTAAATTCTCCAAGGCATGAATAATTTGTTGCTTGGCTTTAATGCGACCTTCAGCTGTTGTAGGATGTACACATTCATTAAGCAAGTGTTCAAGGTCCCAATCATCCACTGCAAAGTTCGGCATGTCATGCAGGAGTCCACTCGGCATGCCCAAGTCTTCCTCATTTGCATATTTTGATAAAAGGTTTCTACACACGGCATAGTAGTTTAGATCAGAATCCATTCTAGAGCACAAATCTTCTGTTGAGAAGGTCAGACAGTTTTTTCCATCGCATTCGTCAAAACTGTTTTCATGTAGTTTATTCCACACAGGTGTCTTCACTGCAAAATCATAATTAAATACACACTGAATCAGAAATTTTAATAAATTTTACTGTCATGAAGTATTTCATTCAAACATTCAAAGGAAATTATAAGTTATTCCTGCAACAGAAGAAAGAGAAATGCAATGGCCAGACCGGGGTTCCAACCCGGACCCTCTGAACTCTAGATGGATGCTATACCAATTCAGATACCTAGTCGCCGACGATACAATATAAACTCAATTTTTACAACTATTATGAAAGAAGAATGTTCAACTTATATGAATCACTCTTGTTTATTAATGACATTCATAAACCAGCTGGGTCAGGCAGTGACCTAATGCCTTTCTATGTCCGAACAGGGAATCAAACCCCAGCCATCTTGGTAAAATTCTAAAAACTTTTTACATGGACAATAATTTCCCAATCTAGACGAGTGAAGGAAATATTTTTTTGTGGAGTTTTAGTACAGAGACGGAACACTTGGCATAGATAGTGTCAAATAGTCAAATGAATATGCTTTATACAGCGTATTGAGTAAAAACTGGTATATGTATTTTGTTAAACAAATCATCAACAAAGATATTACATGTATGACAAAATATGTTTTTGAATTACTATTGATGTAAACGAAATGTTAGAACCACATAACCGCTATTTCATGATGACATTATGGTTAGAAAGTTTATTATCAGGGCTTATTTTCACAATTGACATATTATTCTGCGGAGCATTAATTTTGCAATTACAATTCAGAAACATAGGCAGACATCTTGAATTTCAAATTACCAAATAAATAACTTTATTAAAGACAATCATAAAATGTTTTGGCAAAATTTGGTTGATATTATTGGGGTAATTCTCAAGAACAATTAGGAAAAGTTAAAAGAGAGAAGATTTAGAGGAATGGTGACCAGAATTTGACGCTAAGTATTTTGTTACCAATCTCTCGTCCAGTTTGTTACTACACTTTGGTATAGCACTAAATAAAATCATACATAAAACTGATTCATATCAAACAATTAAGTTGGCACTATTAATTTTGTAGTTATCTCCCCTGGAGTCTGACGGCTCTCAGCATGAAAGGACATAGGTTGCATCCCCCTTGTATGAGGCATGTAACCAGTATGCTACTACTACCATGCAATTTTAAAACACAGTTTTTGGTGGCAAGTAGTTATATACTAAACTCTTACTGCCTTCTGCTGAGGGCACTACAGTATCATCATGATGTTGCAAAAGGAAGGATTATCACCCAAGCCATAGAAAACAATAATAGGTAAACAGTATGTATATTGAACATAAAATTATGTTTATTATATATTAATGGCCTTGACCTCTGATATTTGGACCTAAAAGCTATCCTATCAAAATCTATCATTATGAACAGATATGCAAAGAGATGTGTTTGGTCAAAGGAACAAATTAATACATAGCATGAAATCATATTTATAGTTAAAAGTTCTTGACATTATGATTTCAGCAGACATCTAATTGCAATATTGAATAATCCTCTTTCGGAGAGCACCAAGAACAAAAGGAATAACAATAATTCCACAGACACTAAAATTGTACTGAAGGTAGCCTGAGTTTCCTCTGGCCCTGACACCTGACTTAAGACATTTTGACAGATAGATGTCTGCCCTGACACCAGGCTTAGACATTTTGACAGATAGATGTCCCACACCAGACATCTATCTGTCAAAATGTCTATTAAGTCTGGTGTCAGGGCCAGAGGAAACACGGGCTATACTCGAAGCAATGATTTTTCCTTCAGTGATTAGCTTATAAAACGTTAATAGAATATCTTACCTCCTTACGGCAAAGGTAATAGGTACGAAATCTGAGGGTTGTAAAACCAGAAAAATCAGGACTTGAAAACAATATTAAAACAGACTGACAACATTTTCTAAATTTTGGTAATTGAGAATACTTTCTAAGGTAATGGTGCCAGAGCTTTGATAAAGAAAATGGGGAAGCAATTCTTTCTATATTGCCTAAATATTCTTGAACAAGAGAAAATTAAAACAAAAATAATTACATCTTTGTATGGCTGTCCTGTCAACCACTATGATATTCTCAAGGTCGATAAGCGTAACTTTCCCTGCCTCATCTACCACCAGATTTTCGTAGTTAAGGTCAGTCATGTACAGGGCGAAGTCTTGACCACTGTTGGTCAGTCTGTCTGCCATCTTCATGATCTGGTATGCAAGATCAGCCTGTAAACAGAAATTGTTATAATAGTTGAACAGGTATCTGTAATACAATGCACCAATTTAACAGAGGTTAAAAAATGAGGATAGCAAAAATGATTGGTTAACTATCAACCGTTACGTATATACCATTGTGGAGAGTGGAGGGTGTCTAAAATATACAATCCCTTCACGTTATGAATATGTGCTGGAGTTTTAAGCGTGGAGACCTTGTGGCGTTTTATGACTCTAGACGATCTCCACGTTCCCTCCACGCTGTCCAATGGTGGAGTAGCGGTGTAGTGTGGAGTCATGTTCCATCATGGAGTGCTGGTGGGGGACTGAACGTGGAGTCACGGTAGCTGACAAAAAAATACCACCGTGAAACGTGGGGATCGTATGCCTCCACGCAGTGTGTAGTGTATGTTATGCTATGACAACGCAAAATAATTAATTTTGACATGAAAATTTTGTAGTGCATTATCAACCCCCCACAGAATTTCCCAATGGGGGTCATGACCCCCATTGGGAGATTCAAGGGTTAGCAGGTATGCACGTGTCTTTCATCCACCTAGCCACCTTCAGTACATACATATGTATGGGTTTCTTTTATCCACATAATCCCCTCTGTGCAACATGTTTGTGTTTCATTTTCAATTTGTTACAGTTTATTTTTATTTGATCTATATTACTTACTGTCCATTTAAAACTGTATTAGAGTTTATAGAAATACAATTACATGTATGTATAGTAGTATATCTTATAGCATCCTTGATACTCCAGGGGTTACTCTCACTTATGCTCTCAGCAGCCCTGGAATATGTCATATAGCAAATTGAAGGCATGAAGACAGCTGTTAGATGTCTCAGGTAAAAAAAATACCTGACCAATTGCTAGGCTGAACCCTGTCTTTTGAAGATTACAAAGGAGTGACACCTGACTTCAAAGCCAGTCAATTTTACTGTTACAGGACCACGAGATTCATTTGATGTACATCAAAGCCTCAAAGAATCAAAATAGTCTTCTTGTCTCATCCACAAGGTGGCGCACAGCTGAGCCTTAAATTTTGCTATGACATATTCCAGGGGTGCAGAGAGTGTATGTGAGTGTACCATCTGGAGTATTGAGGATGAGCTTAAAATAAATGGGTAGAAACTATATAAGTTTTTAAATACCTAAATTTTAAAATTTATGTCACATGTTCTTTCCATTTAGAAATTGTTCGATTCTCTCTTTATGAGATTGGGCAAGAATTACTTAATGACATTACTGACTGGGCTGAGATGAGGTTGTTTTAGCAATGTTCATGATGGTTTCTTCTTTAGGATTGCTCAGCGGTTATAATAACTACCCATCAATCATACTGAATATATGTTTCTGTTAAAAAGGGAAATTACAATATAATTTTAGTCATAATCGACACAGTATTTTGTAACTACTGAACACAGAAAAGCACTGTACCCTTTTTGGCCAGGGAGCATTATAGTACTGGTATAGAGGATCTCCTTCATAGCTGACAGCAATAAATCTCCCACAAGCCCCAAAATATTCAGGAAACGGCCAACCTTCTGAGGAAGGGAATGTCTGAAACCAAATATTAATTTATCATATGTCATTTGTTAAGTGTATGACATCATATGAAAATAATCAGAAGCTTCCTTATAAAAAAGTATATTTAACATTATAAATACATATAGCTACAAATTTATATCAAAACTTGAGTCACGGAAAAAAATATTAATGTATTCTAATTTTAAGGGAAATCTTAGCCTGTAAATTCTGTTAAAATATATTGGGCAGAAACTATTTTCTCAAGTAAATGTAACATTATATAATTATCTATCACATGATTTCATAATGAAAATTTACTGTGAGCTGAACTTTGTCCATCCAGATAGGTAAGTACATGTACATTGTACCCATCCAGATAGGTAAGTACATATATATTGTACCCATCCAGATAGGTAAGTACATGTATATTGTACCCATCCAGATAGGTAAGTACATGTACATTGTACCCATCCAGATAGGTAAGTACATGTACATTGTACAAGTGCTAACTTCCTTAAGGCTGCCACTTTTGAACACAGTATCAAACCCTTTTCTTCTTTTATACAATTGATAGTTTTCAGGATGACTACATTTTGGTCCATCACAACATACATTACTTTCTGGACAATAGTTTAACTTCCCTGAATTTCTATCAATTATCACAAAAAAAATATCATTTTCACAACACAGCTATTTGAGTCTTGGTCTCAAGCCTTAACAAGTGCAACTCAGGGAAAATCCTGGAATTTGAGAGCAGTGGGCCATTTTCAGCAATTTTTTGTCAATATCAGAATTAAGAGGCCATTCTATGTAAAATTAAAAGAAACATGGAACATGAAGGGGTCAATATCAGTTTTGAGGGGTCAATGGCCCCCTCCAGGATTATCCCTGCACATTTGAGAACAACTTTATCTCTTAGTATCGAGAGAGACTCATCAACATTTTGAAAAAGATGTTAGGACTTGGCAGAAAGAAAAAAAATTAAGAATTCATTGAACATATATAACATGTATACCTGGAGCATCAAGGGCTCCGGGTTGGTAATAGCCGTCACATAGAGTTGTAGCTTGTCCCTCGTCATCACTTCCGGGTCATCTGGTTTCAACTTTTCCTTGTAATTTTCAAGCACTTTGTCGATCAGATTATATGTTGGACATGAGAACATGGATGCTGTCCCTTTGAGATGCTTTGGCAAAAGTCCTAGACGTCGAATCTCGTCCCCAGTATTTGTTCTCATCAGGACCCGGGCAACATCACATCCTACTGGACGGACAGCATCTTTACATAACTTCTCATCAATTTTATCAAGTTCTTTGTCATGAGCCAATTTTTTTAGAACCATGGTATGTCCGAGGTGTTCATGTTCAGCAAAATGTACATTTTTTATATTTACAAAGTCAAGAAGTCGAACCTGTGACCAACCTTTTAATTTGATTTGACTGTCTTTAAAAGCCGGACACAGACTGTGTCCATAGCAGGCAGGGCATTTATCAGTCTGGAGAAAAGCGTCATCCGCTAAATGATTTCGAGTAAGGGACAGGATAAGACTGCCATAGATATACATTGATAAAAATAAAGTCGACAGTAAGAAACATTTTGTTCGCCATGATAATCTGCGGATGGTTGCTGCAGCATCAGACACTACTATACGGACATTTCTCATTGGATGACCTTTGTTTGCCCCAGCGCGTCGATTTCTAACATGGTCTGGGATCATTATTTCAGCTTGCTAATTGAGAGTTCACATCAACATTGACAGCATCTATGAAAAGAGAAAAATATCAATGCATTAAACAACACATTGATCACAGCTTAGTCCATTCACAGGGTCACGTTACAAATGTCTGAAATACACATATGCTATACTGATACGGGTCACAACACATATGTGTGTTGTGACCCGTATCAGTATAGCATATGTGTATTTCAGACATTTGTAACGTGACCCTGTGGTCCATTGGTCAGTAATCTCTCATCAAAGTTTTATAAGGAAAGAAAATGCCAAAAAGTGTGTTTTTTATTTTTAAATCAAATTAATTATAAAACATATATATCTAGTTTAAATCAAACTCCTTATAATCTCATTGCGAGGTTATACCAGATAATCTCATTGCGAGGTTATAATTATAACAGGTAGGTGCAATCCAAGAAAAAAACACATGAGACTGACCCCTGGATTACAATGTATTCAATGCTGAGACCTGTCAGTCAGTTTTTGTTTACTTTGTGAAATTTAACAAATATGAACTTGATACATGTAAAGCAATACAAATAGTATGTCTCTGTAAACTTCTTGGTAGCGGAGTACATATAAGGAATGATAAATTTTCCTAACCTTGTTTTAGTCAATCTAGTCAAAAAGGTCTTAATCCTGTTGAAATATACGGTTTTAAGGAAAAAAATCCTTCTACTGAAAAAAATGCATTCATAATGTAGTTCATAAATATATAATATGGGTGTTGTGTAGGATGAATCCACTAACCAAGTTTATCCGAGATATGCCCTATATTTTTAGGATCAGGTCATTTTTACTGTATTCTGCTACCCAAGGATGAAGCAGGGAGACGGACGTTTCATTTTTAACTGAACGATGACTCCAAATCTAAAAGTTCTCCTTTAAGCTGATCTAATCAACCAAACAATGCTGAAATACTATCACCGTTACGTCCCTGTCCTGTATCAGTGTAGTCTGTCACTGAAATATCAGGCCTTTTCAGTAACAGTGACGCCTGCTTCTGACACATCAAGTGCTAATTATGATCGTACCTGGGTTCAACCCGCTTGAAAAACGTAAAACGACAGGTATTTCGGGCTGGAAAGGTTGAAAATTAAAAAATACTTTCGTACAGTTCCGCGTTGATCTGTGTTAATAGCGAGCTTAGCATTTTATTATTTTCCCCCAGTTAATGCAAACGCTAGTGCGATCTACACTTGATGTATAATATAAAACCAGAGACGTGTATATCCATATAAAATCAATATGCAATATTTGATTTCTCCGGATAAGTCAGTAAGCGATAAATTAATATAATTAATTAAACTGGATACTAACTCCAGGAAAATATCAAAATACCACCGATCAACCATTTAACACAAACAAAATTGCTGAGTCGTCCCCAAAACCTTCCTGGTAATGGCACGACGATTTACCCAAAACACCCCCCAAAACACCTCACAGATAGCGTTTAGCTGAAGAAATAGTAAATTGTTTTACAAACTGTAACGAATGTTTGCAAATTGTTTTATTATCTGTGGAATTACGGAGGTAATTAGTGCCTTGCAAAATATATCGCTGCAAGTGAAGGGAGGTAAATCGTTCAAGAACGACAAGACAATATACACAACGATGCAATTACAAATAAGTAAACTCCATGTATTTGTATAAATATTTTACTAGATTTTTCAAAACTTTCAATCAACGTTGAAGGCAATTCCACCACACTCGTCCAGTCAGATTTAAATTCAAAATATTTTTAAATATTTTATTGTTAACTACATAAAAAAATTAACAGTACATGTATTAATACAACAGGCTAAGCATATTTAAATATTTTCCTGTATAACCGATATCGAATTATTTTAATTTCATTCAGATTTTGAATATGTATACCAAATAACATCATACCGGTATCACCTACATTCTTTGATATATAAAGTTACACAGTGAACTACATGAACAATCATTAATACAGAAATATACAATATAATTAATTAATAAAGATAGATACAATAGCATGTAAAAAGTACATTAAGTTTAAAAAGTATAGTATTGCATACATGAATACCGGTATCACCTACATTCTTTGATTTATATAAATTTACACAGAAAACTAACTACATTAACAATCAATAATACAGAAATCTACAATATAATTAATTAATAAAGTTAGATACAATGATACACATATACATGATTAATTGGGTATAAGTTTGTTTCCCTGTGGCATACAGTTCACAATTAACATACAAAAGTAAATCGTCAAATGTCTGGATTAACTCTTAAAAAAAACTCTCCTAACCACAAAAAAAGTACTTCCTAATTCCAGCTTCTGAAAAGTGGACAAGTCTATCGTCGTAATCGGCTGGGTAATGAAGGGGGTAATCCTGATGACGCGTGTTCCATATTTTGTCCGTAAGAATCTGTTGATGGCATTCCTCTGCTTGTTGAAAGATTCCGCAGTAAGTCCTGGGCCCGTATTCATGAAACCATTCTCATGCTCAAGCATGGTTTTGCGCTCAAGCCTATTTTCTTGTTCCGGTTATAAATTAACTTGGGAGAAAAAATTGAAGAGACTTAGAGCCAAATACTGTTTTCAATGTTAACATTTGATTTTTTGATCGTTTGACATGATTTAAGTCAGTTGCAAAAAAAAACAACTGCTTAAGCATAGAATCCATGATTGCATGAGAATGGTTTCATGAATACGGGCCCAGGTGCTTTGCTGAAATCTCTGCGTCTACACTGCTGCACCCTTCTCTGCCAGTGTTTCCTCGAGCACAGAAAGCCGGTTGAAAATCTCTCTCGGGTTCGAGTTCTGCCGAATATCGTTACCACCTAATTGGATAAAGACAGCGTCCGCATCTAATGCCCTCAAGTCTGTCATCATCCAGTTTGAAATTGTGTCCGTCCTCATTCCTCAGTCAAGTGCATCTAGACATGCGTGTTCATAAATGCCAATCAATGAAATACATTGCGTCGGGAAAATTTCTTACGGTTTCCAATATATACGATTTACTTCCCCTTAACTGGTAGCATAACTCCGGTTGTTTTTTTTAAAGAAAAGACTCAATCATTCGTCAAAGGGTTTTATTTACAATAAAATAGACTTGAAGGTGTTTTGGGGTGTAGTTTGGGTGTGGTTTGGGTGTGTTTTGGGGTGTTTTGGGGTAGTTTTGAGTGTGTTTTTGGGTGTTAAAGCTGTTACGCCCTTTTGATTCACAATAACGCCTAAAAAAAACATAACGCCCAATGCATTTAGCCCCCAAAATACCATAACGACCTGTATGGGTTATGGTTCATATAGTGGTAGAGCATAAACAATGTACATGTGTAACAAGCGAGAGAGAAAATCACGTCTAAAACGGAAATCAAATCCGGAACCCTTCCAACTGTTGACTGACACTCTAGATCGGGCGCGTCTAATTACCCAATACTACCCAATACTACCCAATACGACCCAATTATGAACCAAATACTTCTTTATTACTGTGAAATATCACATTTGTAGACGTTATTTACTTCCATCTGCCATATTTTATCGGGAAATATGCGATTTGGTGCGGAAAACATCACCGAATTGCCGTGACTATGATCCAATACTACCCCATACCACCCAATGTCACCCAATCTTTATTACTGTGAACTATCACATTTCTTGAAGTTATTTACTGCTATATGTCACATCCTATCTGGAAATTTGCGATTTGGTGCAGAAAACATCACCGAAATGCCGTGACTATTGGGGTTCGACGATTTACAGGAACGGGCAGAAATCTTTTAATTATTATATACATTAATGAATATATATTAGATACATTTAAGTATTATTATCGGGTATAAGATATATTAGATAAAAGGATTGCAATTACATGATCGGGGCAGAATCGGACTAAATTATATATATATATATATTTATATTATTATATCTTTTTTATCGGGTACAAGATACATCATTTGATAAAAGGATTGCAACGAATTGAAAGTATTGTATTGATATGGATCGGGCAAGAACGGGCGACGATTTACAGGAACGGACAGAAACGGGGCAGGATCGGGCTTATTTATATATATTTATTGTATATATTTAATTATCCTTATCGGGTATAAGGCATATTCGATAAAAGAATTGCAATTACAGGAACGGGGCAGGATCGGACTAAATATATTTATATATATATATAAATTGCCAGGCCGAGGTTCCAATATATGTCTCTGTTTTATTCTATAAAAGAGGGTTGTTCAGAGAATTATATATTACATATATAATAAATATGTATCAGGGTTATTTTCTCCTTTATATATATGACATTGTTATTGCGATGTCATAACACCTGAAACATTGGAAATGACATTATGTTAACCAAATTTTAATAACTTCATAACTTATACTCAACTCTTAATTAATAGCATGAATATATTTTGAGTGAATTAATTGGTGTTAATGTGTAGATATCAATTCCATCACGTCTACGATCTTAAAAAAAACAAAAACAAAAAACATCCAACTCAAAAAAGGGACATCTATCTGAAAATTAAATATTATTTTATATGTAAATATAAGTTAATTGAAATACGTGTTTTACGTAAACAAATATTGAAGTCCATATGTTGGATTTTTAGGCCTTATCTGTTTTAGAAAAGCGATACTGTATATGAATTGTATATGTAAAGATAAAAGAAACACGGTGAAACGCTTTAAGTTTCAATTTTCAAAGGCCGATGTGGTCAAAACTGATTATCTAATTCCGTAATAGTAGACAAAAGACTTCTTGTTCCAATGTTCAAGCTGGTTTTAGGAAAGGCTACTCTACAACTGAAAATATATTTATCCTTCATGCTTTAATATCTATATACTTTTCAAAAAGTAAAAAGATATTCTGTTCATTCATTGATTTCAGAAAAGCGTTTGATACTGTTTGGAGGGTAGGTTTATGGAAGAAATTATTAAAGAATAATATCACAGGAAAGATATTTAATGCTATAATTAATCTGTATGCAAAGACTAAATCTTGCGTAAAAACTAGCAATGGTATGACTAATTTTTTCACATGTCACGTCGGGGTAAAACATGGTGAAAATCTCTCCCCATTTTTGTTCTCAATATATTTAAATGATTTAGAAGATTTTTCATGCAAAGTAATTATGACCAACTCCAGTATATTGATAATTTATTTCAAGAACGCATGAGTATATTTGTTAAATTATTTATTCTGCTATAGGCAGAGGACACAGTTGTTATGTCAGAAACAGCTAAAGGCCACAGCATGCTTTCCGTGAATTTGAAACTTACTGTACTATTTGGAAACTTAAAGTTAATCTCAATAAAACTAAAGTTGTTATCTTTGAAAAAAGTAATGCACAAAATATTCGTTTTACTCTTTTTGGTGAAGAGTTGCAAACACATGACAGCTACTCGTTTCTAGGACTGCTGTTTCATTATAATGGCAGTTTCTGTAAAGCAAGAAAAAACCTTGTTGAACAGGCTCAAAAAGCAATGTATGCATTATATAAAAAAAAAAAGAAATATTATTTTACCAATTGACCCACAATTAAAATTGTTTGATGTATTAATATCCCCAATCCTTTTGTACTCCTAAGAAATTTTGGGGTTTGAAAATACCACTATGATTGAATTTTAAACATACGTAGCTCCACAGCAAATATAATGGTATATGGTGAAACGGGTAGGTACCCTCTGAATATTGAAATTAAATCTAGAATGATTATGTTTTGGTATAAACTAATTACAGGTGAAAATAAATTGTCTAGTATAATGTACAAGCTTAGGCTGAATTTACATGAAAATGATTTCGCTGATTTTAAATGGATTTCATATATCAAGAATCTATTCAATTGCACGGGACTAAGTTTATGTTTAAAATTAGATATTGTACACGGAATTAGATAAAGTCCGTGGTTATGCATTCATATAACTTGATGGTTTTAAAGACTTAAATTTGTTTAAATAAATTCGACGAGTATTAAGTAAGAGTAGATTTACTTTTCACAACCATGTATCTTTAGTATATATTGGAACAAATCTATCTTTATACATATTATAACGATAGTTGTTATAACTAAAACAAATCCGTAGAATGTTCATGTACGTCAATACGTTTATAACGTTCATTGC